ACTGACACAAAGATGTGAACAATGGTATCTGCGTAATATATTTGTAAAAATAACACATCTTTTCCAGGACTACGTAAAACTATAAGTAAAATAATCTGAGTATTAATATTGTTATTCAAAACGATATATATATATGTATATAACCTTGTGATTTGCCGTTTCAACTCAATAGACTTGAATAGTCCGTGATGGATAAATGGGCATTTATTATTTATTTAGAAGTCATTCCTCTTCTTATCTTAAATGTTTATTATTTTATTGATAGACAGTGAAATAGCTGTTAGCATACTAACTGTTTCTTGAATCCGTCAGTTAGAATAGTGATGAAAGTAGTAAATTCTAACAAAAAATTTCTAAACATTTCTGGTTTCTGTATTTCCAAGTTAGTTCCTAGTGTGAGTGTTTACAAGTGAAGGATGAAATCCAACTGCAGTCTTGATCAATGCTGAATAAGGATTTTTAAGTTTTTTCGTTGAATATATAATTAGTGAGGTTCATTGATCTCTCCGTTTATATCAGTCATATGTTTCTGATCATTTACTTATAATACTACTTATACTACATGTAGTCTATCCAGATTTCAGGTTCTACTAGTCTTAGTTTCTATTCAGTCTATAATAAGACAAACATCCACATTATTCACGTGTATTAAAAGAATTAACTGTATGTTATTTCAAATTGTTCAGAAACAAACATAAATCCATCATACAGTCATGTGAATTAAAATGAAGTTCATTCCGTAAACTGAACAAGTGCAATTTTATATATTCACTTTTATGTATTCACTTTAATTGAGACACAAAACTTTATTTTATCATGAAATTAGTTCATTTAGAAGTAACTACTCTAATAAATGTTTAGTTCCAACTTTAATGGTACGATTCATGTAAAAAACCTACATTGAAATTAAGTGTAATCGAATTAAATTTCATTTATATTAGCACACTGAACAAGAAAGTATTTAGAAAGTGTAATCGTAACTTTTTATCATTTAAAAATGACTCTGTGATATTATGAAATCAGTCAATCACTTTATATACCTTATGAACAAATGTGAACTTAACTGATTTTATCACTAAATATGCATGCGTTTATCTAGAATCATTCTAATTTGTTAACGAATATGTAATTTCCTTATTTCTACTGTTAAATAAATTCATTGAATTATGTGAACCGATGAACTGAATTACTGATCAAAGTTAATAAAATTCGGTGAAGTTCACGAACTTTATAACATTCATGAAGTTCTCAGGATTATCCATAGTTAATTTTATCATACTGAATAATGACTTATATACATATTTTTTAAAATAGTTACTGATACATTTCTCTAATAACACACAACTTTTCTGATAATCAAGGTTACCACGTCTTTGCCAACTAGTGCACTCGTTATCAACAGTAAAATGATTGTGTCAATATTATACTTACTAAATAATTAGTGCAGTCTTTATATAAATCAGCTCTAATAGGGGTGAATATTTTTCTTTAACTGTGTTACATTACCTGGACATAGACCTTCATCCGACTATGATCACATTCTCTTCATTTTTTGTGTTTTCATTTATTCTTTTCTAAATTATGGTTATATATATTTATAGATGGTAAACCTATAATTGACTTTGTAGAGTTCATTTATACTTTGTTTTTAAAAGAAAATAGAGCAGTTTTATTCTATTTTGTTTAGAGTTTTCTTTACAATATAATCTTCAAACATTTGAACTGTAACACAAACCTCCAAGCAGATATTAAGAACAAAAATGCAGATTATCTATCAATTTTGCTTACAGTATTACATTAAGAGCTTATGAATGTTGAAGTTTAATAGAGTTACCGGTGTAAGGATAATTTATGGACTACCTTTGAGCTACACTGAAGTGACCTTGAGAGTGTCCACCTAATAACTAGGACCAAATGAGAGTTGTAAACCAGTGTGAAGAATTAGAATGATCATTAACAGTTGATGGTTAAGGTTAGGGATTAGATTTAGGGTTTTCATCACAATGGGTAAATATCTCGCAGTCTACAATTGACCGTTGAAAACACTGATTCTGACCCAGTGAATTAGCTGGTCAGTTATGTACAATGTAGAACCTGGTACTTAAGTATATTGACTCAATTTGCTACACTACAGTATTACCAATCAAATAGAGGTAGTAGCATCAGCGACAGCAAAATAGATCAGTCATAATGAATATGACTAGAGAACAAATGATAGATGACTAATAATGTCCTAGTAAAGAGCCGTCAATTTTTGACACATCTTTTGATGGTAAACACTTCCACAAAACGTCTCGATCACTAAAGCTAAATACTGCCGTCGCGTCAAGGAATACTATCTTTATCAGAAGTCGGTTAGTATGCTTATGTTCTGTAAAAGTGCGAAGATTTGATCGGTGGATCGACACTTTGTTCTAAAACCATGCTGACTTTCTAAGGCTTCCAGTTCACTACCCTTAATTAAGTGTTGGGTTATTTTTGAGACGGCTATTCTAGACAATACAGATCGAAGGAATTCCTCTGTGGTTATGAGAAGTGGATTTATGTCCTTCCTACTTAATACGATCAGACGCCATTACGTGCCAATTCTGCAGTGATGACGATGTGGTTTACTTGAGTTTGTGTTTGAGTTGGCTTTGCTGGTCACTACGATGGACAATGTTTCTCTTTATGGGCATTTTTAGGCTTATGAAAGTTAGGGATATTTTTATAAAACTGATCGTTTTGTTTTTCCGAACTGCAGTTGGCTTGAGCGCTGTCAGAGACTGGAAGAATGTAACGGTGTTTTTCTTTGTCGTGTTGGGTTCATACAATACTATTCAAGTGGACGGCGTGGCGCGCAAGTAAAGGTGCAGTCCAGAAGACCTCGTTTTGCTTTTGAATTAAATGAAATAGTTACACAATTTAGGAGAGTGACTGTATAGCGTAAGCGATAAGTGCTTGAGGCCGGTTACACGCGACCTTTCCATGAGGATTTTTAATGTGTTAGCTCTGTACTTTAAAAGGCATTCCATTCTCAGTCAGGAATCTTTGATACATGATGAAGTGTGATATATTTGTAACCTGTCTTCTCTAACCCCTGCTTTCTATCGCCGAATGAGGTGATCTCTGGAGATCCTGGTTGTTGCGATCATATTCCAGTACAGTTTTCAGTATAACGTTCTTCAACTGAACTGTCTCGCGTAGTTGGACCTCAGAGGAACGAGCGTTCCCGTTAATATTCTTCTGTTGGGTCACTACGATAGGTGGACTCGATCACCATACCGATGTGGAAATCTCCGGTAGGGACTTATTATCATCTAAGTTGCGGCGAGATCGTAGCTTGATAACGTTTGAATTTGTGAATGTGTGCTATTGATAAGTTGTCAATATGGCCGAAACAGTCACCAATAATTCTGTGGCATTTTTCAGTAGTGTTTTAGGTAAAACCAGTTAATGATGAAATTGATTTCAAAATAATATCTTGGTTTCTAATTATGAAAGGGATTGTCTTACTGTATGAACAGAAATTTGTGCTGATATTGTGAGCTACTGGTTTGTACAGCTAACATGCTAATTAATTGCACACAATGATTATAACCACCTCATTCCAAACTATTTGGAACATGATTAAACTTAGAGTGACTAATACTGAACTAAACTCATTATTATTGTATTTCTATGTCGCTCGAATGTTTCTAAATCAATTGTGCAATAATCGATATTCTAGTGCGTGATGTGTTGTCTTTATTTGAACATAAACAACATTTGAAAGACAAAATAAATCCATAAAAAAATATACCGCTAGTATTTTAACAGTTTATTCGATTAATAAACTGTCAAGTGAGTGCATATTTTATAAAGTTAACTATACAGTTATTCATTTCAAAGGGAATATTTCGAGATGTTTTATTCTCACTGTATTAATTACTGTTTATATTTGACCAGATATTATGGTTATGAATATAACTGGTAATGTTAGGACCGATTTGTCAATGATTTGTTTGTCAACGTGTTTGAATCAGGTTAACTGCTTTTGTGAAAGTACATACATAAGCCTTACCCATAACTCCTTCTTTTCTTAATTATGTACCTTCATGGTTATGACAGGTTATCAGATTTATAAATAGCGCTATGATTTCTAATCCGGAATATAGAATAAGATTTTTCGGTTCATACCAGATATCGAATAATTCACTAAACGGTAAAAATACTCCTCCATCATATCGTAAGTGCCATCGTGTACAACTAGAAGAATTCTTACTTATGAAGATGAAAGTTCTGAGTATCCTTAATTTTTTTAATAAGTTTTATTAACTGATCAACAGTTCCTTTTAATATTCAGACCACCCTGTTCGACAACTATCATCGTAAAATCATAGTGACTGCACAATAATATAGATTACTGAAATCTAAACAATCGAATGGACTGTGTTACACTTTATGTAACTTTCTAAACATTCCTAGCGTGTAATTAAAGTATTTATGTCAGATGTTACGTTGTAAGTGAAACCAGTCATGAATATGAACAAAGGTGTAAAAACTGTAACGTTTATGTTTGTTTCATGTAACCTTGTATTAATGAAACTGTGCATATATATATGTACAGTAAAGTTTAATTTTAATCTTAGAGAGATGTGTTTATTTATTCATTCGTAAAAGGTTATTCTTAATTTCAAGTGAAGTCATTTTAGATGACCGCTGATGAATAATAGCACAACGTGTAAATACATTTGTAATTTTGTGCATTGTAAACGCTAAAATGAATAAATAAAATTTATTTACTAAATCACTGTACATACTTGGAAGTGTTTTCATTTATTACAAATGATTTATTAACATGCCCGTCATTGTTTTTTTTTGTTTTTTTATTAAAGTGTTTTTGTTATTTGTCTATCGAATTATAAACTTACTATTGTAAGAGGATATTGTAAATATATATAGATGTATCCTATTATTTGTGGAACGAAGTATCTTGGAGTGTTTAACATTGTCTATTTAATTATTTATTTGTTTTACAGGAAGATCCTCTTGAACCTGCACTTAAACTTATTCCAGGTTTTTTCGGCACAGTGGTTCTGGTCAATAGTTTTTCAATATTTTACGAAGGACCTTCATGTACGTTAGCTGCAAATTGTCATCGATATTTTCATTAAAACGACAGTTGTTAAGTTTGTTGTAATAGATATTTATTTAAGTGTTGAAATTGTTTGATAATTTGTCAGTGATAAAAATAATTACTGATGTATTTCGCGGATATTTTTATATTGTGGATTGTTACTAAAATGCACTAGAGAACTTATTTGATGGTAGCTTTCTGGACATTTTACTTAAATCTAGCACGAAATGCACTTGACTGAGATAAATTAACTTGTTTTTTCAATGCTTTTATCCATTCGAATCAAGTTTCTGTATAGTGTATCGGTTTAAAGTGTTTATATAAGTAGCGATTTCTATGCACAAAATTGAACTATACGACCGGTATATTAAGAATAATGAATTAATCTAGAATTGCTCTGACAAATATACCCTTCAGTTATCTGGTAGTTTATGGTGTTGGCTCTAATGCAAGCGAAAATATTTTTAATGTTTCTTCGATATTTGTATGAAAGTCAGCAAAGTAGGTATGTTGGATGGAGTATACGAGTTAGTGTATTATAATTCTTGTCGCAGTGTTGTCAACTCACCTTAGTAAATAATTAAATATTAAAGTGAACATGAGCGTGCGGTGTTTGAAGCAAGCAGTATTGTGTTCGAGTTGTTGAGTAAAAGACCAACACTAGGATTCGGTCACATTGGGCAATAGAGTCCTAAAGGGAAAGAGACGCGCATCAATACCTTTGATAAAAAGATCAAAGTCGATTGATCATAATATCATTTTCATCTACACAAACAAATACTTGGATAAATAACAATAATATCAGTTATGTTCTTCTAAATTAAGTTTGTCAATTTTTTCTTGAAAAAAGTTTTCTATTTACAAAACAAATTATCACTGTATTTCACTTCCTTACTTTTGTTAATTCGGATTTTACCTAAGTTGTGTTATTTTTTTCCCATTGAATTTGACAACGACTGTATTGGAATATTACAAGTAAGTTGTAAGTGTTTATCTTCCGTGATATTGACCAGCGTACTAACATCGCGGCAATAATTTATGAAAGAAGACATGGACGGAAGTTGGTCGATTCTGATATTCTTATTGTTTAACAAATAATTTAGAAACATTTTACTCTACTGAATTAAATAACCTGTATAATTTCATATAGAGGTTTGGTACATAAATTTAAAGTATTACAGTTAGATTGTTCCTTTTTATTTATCTCTTGGTTTATGTGTTCAATCCTACTCAATATGTGGATTGATGTGTATGTTGGTATTTGATAAATATTCCAGGTTCTATTTCTATATAAGCTTGAATAACCGATAGTGTGAATTTGTGATTGATACCAAATTTAAAATGACAAGAGTGTTTATACTGCTATGGTGTTGATAAGAATCATAAGTACACATGGTATGCGTGAAGTCCATTAGAATGTATACAATAAACATGGTATGATGATTTTACCATTTCAATCAACTTCATTTAATATAAATATCCTATATTTTTCATAATAATTGTATATTTCCGTCTAGATTACTACAATAACTGCTTCTCTTATATATAATAATTAAATTGTTATTGAAAATATGTTGATATTTGAAATAATTATGGATGTAATTAATTACTTTATATTTTTGTGTATTTTTTCCAGTCTCCAATCTACTTACATTTGTATGAACAGTCGATTATCAACTAACCCTTTCTGAACTACATATTACACATGCTTGTGTTTTTCCTCTTTTGTAGTGCTGAAATTCGATAGGATACCCCTTTATGGAATATTTATAATTAGCTGTGGTTTAGGTATTATCACTGTTCTACTTGTGAAGTTTGTTTGGGTACCTTTGGTTCGTCGACATATTTTAAGTAAGTTTTTTACTCTAGTAATCTGATGTATTCTATTGTGACTGTAAGATTTAGCTTGCCGTAAATGGACAGAGAGTAGACTGTGTTGAATTATGCAATTATATGTTCCAGTCACCAAATGTGATTCGTGTGCTTTGATTATGGTGAGATTGTGAATGCATACCACTGAAGATTCAAAGTTTATGTGAAATGTCCCTGTATTAACCTCTGAGTTTTCGGCACCTGTATCAACGAAATAACTTTATGCTAAAGGTTTTCTCCTGATGTTTGTTTTATTGATAATCGCTCAAGCCTTTTGATGCTCGTTAAACAATAATCACTGATTTTTCTTGTTGAGCAATTGAACTAGCCAGACAGGACAGTTTATTTATAATCTATGTGACTTCATAATCACTAACGTCATAAACGAATGAGCAGACGAATCAAAGAAGGCTAAATTTCATCTGACGTCACACATTTCAAATAAGTGATTGTTTGCTGTGTCAAAGAGATAAAGAAAGGATTAAGTGACAAATACCACGCTTTATTTGTCGCAACGTGCGGTGTCCGTGACTTGATAATGATACCATAGTCTTTCTATATGCGAACCCGACTACCCAAGAGAAGATATGGGTAGTAAGAATGTAAGTTGATTTGGTGAAATCGACTCATATGCATGTGCACTTATGTGTATATTCCATAGGTAATGAGGTGTACCAAAAGGTTTGTGTGTGATCCTTTGAAAACGAAAGGATTTATCGGCCAGTCACAACCACTTATGATTTGAGGATTTCCGATTGACCCGTTGTAACAGTATTTTCCAAATAACTATTTTGTTTAAAACTGATTAGTTACAGAATATACTCACTGCTACTGACTGAATAAGTTAAGCACTACATTGAGAAGCTAATAACCAGAATAAATATGAATCTATATCATCAAATGGGATTTTTTCAGAAAAGTAATTAAACTACTGTTTTCTTGACCAGTTAATTTCGTGGACAAAATATAAATGTAAAACGTAACCACTTATATTGTGAGGTTACTGTTTTTCTTACTCAATTCCTCTATCTTTAAACATTTGACCTTTATCTTTGTCGATTACGGAAACTGTGATTTTATTTTTTATGATAAAGGATTGAAGGGTCCTAGTGAGAAAACTGGAGAATCTCCCGTAGGTTTTGTGTATCTTGGATTATCACTGATAAATCTGATGACTTAGAATAGTTCAGTGATATAACTGTCCATCTTTCTGGATTAGATTATATCACTGACTATTGATTGAGGCCAGCTAAATCACGTGATCATTGTGAATAAGCATTTCACTGAATGCTTGTTTTTCTGGAGAAGAGTAACAGAAATATGAGATGCTATACTACATGTGGGTATTAGGTCGTATGGTAACTGAGAAATTAAGGTGATATTCAAACTAGGAAGTAGTTAAATAGATATAAATACAGTGCAGAACAATCCTGTACAAATGTTTAAATACTTTTCGAAGGAGAAACGTAATTATCGCAGATTAAGATCAAATGAACTTAACTGTTGGTCAAAGAGTTTACTTTGAGATTAAAATCACAGATATTATCATCTGTTTGCCTGCGTTCAGCTGACAACAATTCATATAAGGAATGACTTCTTATTGTTATAACTTGTGAACCTGTATGCCCTGTCTATTGTATAACGCCACGATACCGCCAATCAGAGAGCAGCGAATTATCGACCGAACCAGTGACGCATAAAACACGTGCGAGCAGCCTAGAGTCCTGATTGGTCCTGCTTTATGCCTGGCCCAACCAGTTGAGTCCAGAACACCAATCTCAGCCTCTGCAATACGAATAATTTATTTCAAGCATACTGGGTTTATATATCAATCAGACAGACCACATGTACCATAAAACATGAAAGAATATTTGTACAAGAATTAGCCAAATGTGGCTGTGAGTGAGAGAGATAGTAATTGATAGACTGGGCATAACTGAAGAATGGTAAATCGTATAATAATAGTTCATAGGTCAAAATAAAACTCATAATAAGGGGGACATGAATATGAAAAATTTAGTTGCATAACAATTATACGATAAAAATATACTCATAGTATTGTTCCATAAATGGATCCCAAAAATTACCATTCATTATTCTTATCGGGACATAACACGTACAGATTTATTATTATATAATCCGATCTATAAATGTGTATACATTTATGAGGTCTTTTCGAATTAATAATTAAGATATTTCGGAAGTGAGAATGAATTAAACAGCTTTATAACTTCATGTTTCATTTTCAGTGTTATGACTTTAAATTCTTACAGAACTGTGTTTTAATTTTACAAAAATGAAACCTGACTAATACACGGTAATAATGAACCTGTTTCGATTTTTCTTTAATGTGTGATAAATGAAGTAAAATGTAATTGTGTTTCATTGACGCTATAGATTCGCTTACAACAACTTACAGATTGTACGTAATTTTTACATTGACTAAAATATTCGGCTAATTCGGTGTTCATGCATTTTTATAGCTGGAGAATCGAGTAGACATATTTTAAAAGGCTATTGTTCCCGTAAGAGCAAAAAGAAATTGTCTGTCGCTGTAGACGATAAGTATCAATCTGTTGAGGATAATAAATCTTCCAAACTTTCAAGCAGTAATCATGAATCGATTGATATGGATACGTATGTACCTCGTGCAGAGGGAGAGGCTGTGGTTGGATTTCGAAACAATGTTGCCAAAGGAAATACAGATGACAAAGACAAACTTGGACGAGTTACTAATGAAAATAATGGTGTATTGCAGGGATTAGAAAATCAAAATAAAGTTTCAATTCGTAAGTTTTGTTTTGTAAAATAAAGCCTCACTTGCGTTATCCCCAAGGTTGCATTGACACGAAATTCGTAATCATTTTCATGGTTAAAATCTCATGGAGATTAGATGCAGATATATAGTTATATATACTTTTTAAAGCACAATTTGGTGACAGTAATTTATTATGATTATTCTCATGAATTTGGATAAAAGCAGGCTGTTAGTTAAAACAGAAATATGTGGATATAGTATTTCATGGACTCTATTCATTTACGATTGTGTTGAGATATAAGATTAGTCATAGCACACAAACAAAGAGCTGAAATGGGATGTTATGATTGATGTTTTCTATAGATACATGTTGGAAAGCCCACCTGAAGATCAGCATAGAAAAATACGAAGAAAGAAGCTTGCTAAGGTGAGCTGTGTGACAGTTGTACGAAACCCAAAAGGATTTACATAAGTTTGAATAATTGGGTTAGTGGGAATCACTCAATAATTGTAAAAGTATGTTTTGGAGAGTATGGAATAATAAGTAACTTTCTAAAGATCGCCTAAATGATCATAATTATAATATCGACGGAAACGAAAGTATTATTGAGTGGGTTTTATGGTGATTGGTTTAATTTGAAGATGGCGTTCGTCACAGTTTGACCTCAGTCGGTATACCATTAGTAACCAGGGGGGGTTGGGTACTGAACGTTAGTTTGTTCGTAGTATGGGGCTCCACGACTATGCTCACTTACACTTATATATCCATATTTGAATGCTTTCTAAATATCGTCATTCCTCTTTGTTAAGTATATATGGCGAACTCTCAACTTCGATTCACAGTTCCAGTACAGGCGTGAATCGTCTACGTATGCTGATAGTGGTTGGTTGATTAGACCATATCTGATATAAATAAGCTGCAGTCTACTTTGTCACATTTACAGGATGAAAGAAAATGAAGTATTTTCCTGTAGATTAAACTTGTTTAAAAATAGTGACATTTGCATTGTAAGTGTAAACTACATTTCTCAAACGTGTAAATAGTTAATTTTAAGAAAATGCGATTACTTAACATGAATGAGAGCAAGTTCTGTGAAATTCAAACGTCTAAGCAAAAGTGTTTCAACATCATTAAAAGAAAATAAGCTGACTGTTCACCCTATGTACTGTTTCTCTAAGTGTTACGTAATCGGTATAAAATTTCAATGTCAGTTGTTAATAAAAAAGGATTAGTTACACACTGTTCACTTCATCGATGAAGAAATCTGTTTCTACAAAATGTAGACATAATTTAGAACACTTGCTCTTTAGTAGAACACTTTATGAATACGTCAATTTTATTGTATATATTTCTGTCAAAATGTTTTTTTCACATTATTTCTTGTGAGTAACACCGGTTATTATTATTAGTAGTATGAACTCTGAAATTGTATAGAAGTGGGCACTGTTTATTAGAATAATGATACATTAAAATTAATTATTAACTTTACTGTGTACTTCTAATGATTTAACTCGTTAATTTACTTATGAGTAATAGGAATATAGTGAAGAAAATGTTTATTCTCTATAGAATGTTGTTAGGAATGATTACATAGAAACGGTTAAACTATGTGTGATAAGTGGCTTCATTTTATTTAGAGTAAAGTGAAGTGACCTCATGTGAAATCGTTATCAGTTTATCACTTGTTTTATAGAACATATATTTCAGTGAAATTAAGCGTTGCTAAGTTTTATTTGGCCTGATTTATATACTGACACACAGTTGGCTTCTCAAGAAATCAAGATAATTTCATAGTGTAAATGAAATAATAAATTTTTTCCATGATTATATCCAAAGTGAGATCTTTATATTATTATTATTATTGTTATTACTATTATTATTATTATTATTATTATTATTATTATTTTTACTAAGACTACACTGAACCTAGTAAACGTTAATGGATCAATGTATATAAATGTAAACAACCCGTTTTTAGTGCTATTTGATTTGGTTATACGTTGCAATGATTGACATGAATTTACTTGTTTTGGCAAACCTAAATCTTCCCAAACTTAATCATGTCGCATCATTTTTATTTTAAGTTTATTCTTATTTGTATGAGATTTTTATATCTGCTCCCTTCTTTTTACACTTCTTTCATATGTTCCATAGATTTCGAAGTGAAACCAAGTAATCCAGATGAAACAGTTTATAAAAGAAATCAGTTAAATAAGGTTTTGGATTATTCACCAAATGATCAAAATGCCATCATGGATGGTAGCCATAATTTAACTAATGGTAAAATGAATGTATCATTTCCTCCTAACCTGTCTACAATTGGTGAAGTGAGTATTGTGATTTAGTATTTATCTCCCTTTACTACTGTATCTTTTGGGATATACATATACCTTAATTAAATTACTAGATAGTGTTGAATGGTTACTGTATATCAACCAATAAGAGGAAAGTGAATATGCATAGTTTAGTTACTTAACAATTATACAATAGAAATGTATGTATAGTGTTAATCCATGAATGGATCCCAGCAGTTAGCATTCACTATTCTCATTGAGACATATCAGGAGGCTAGCACAAATGAACATCCAACCAGGTTGGTACATTAAATCAGTCAGTGGTTTCGATCGTTGCACAGAGCCCTACAAGGTTGTATTCCAGTGTCCGTAAATGGACTCCATTATGATTGAACGACACTGATCCTGGTGACATGTATATCCTACTTGACTTCATATATACTCTGTCGACTAAACTCTTTAATACCACATAGTCATGAAAATTCAGACAGGAGAAGCTGAAAAAGTTTATTCGGTGAACAATGAATGACTTCATCCTTATATAAAGTGAATAATACATGAATTACAGATGACCAATTAAAGCAGAGACAACAGACACACATATGGCAAGTACACTTAAAACTGTTTGAAGTTAACCGTAAATAATCAACAAGTGCATATATACGAAAACAACAAATGAATACACTGTGATCGGTAATGTTAAATTTAAATATGCACAGGTCAGTTTATGGTCACCTAACAGTTTATAGAAGTCTATCGTATTAATTCATGATATAGCTGAAAGTTTGATTATGTTTATGACTCAAGTTTATATGGGTCACTCCATCATACAGTGAAAGATACATGATGTGCTGCAAGGTAACTTGTGGTTATTAGATTCGTTTTTTATTACATATCTTCCTCCTTGTTTAAATACCATTTATATTATATTGCAAATAATCCTAAATTCACATGCTATAATTTTTAAACGATGTATTTTCTCCCAAACCTTGCCACCTTTTGGATTAATAATTTGTATATTCTTTGTTCACTTATGTTTCAATATGATGGGAATTTTTCGGTATTTGGGATGAATGAAAGTCGAGAAATTTCTAACTTCAGAGATTATATTAATTAATTCTGTTGCATTTGTGAATCGTTTGTTTTCCAAACTAGCGATGAACAGAGAGTGGATATTACCCTAGATACCTTGTATTCACAGTGCAATTGAAGAGATATTTTAGGTCTATTTTGTGTGGGAGTAAATGAAACCATGCTGAAAAGAAGCAGTTTGAACTATTCTACAAATAAGTATTTTGCATGATATCATTTGTTTCAAATGAATGATTAGACTAATCTTAAGCCTATATATTGTGACGTATAACACATGAAATGCATTGTTAATATTTTTGCTACATATAATCTTCACTTAATTATTACTAATTCTTCTGGATATAGGAACCAGATCCTATCGATTCAGTTAAAGATCGTCCTGCTGAAGCTCAAGTTTTCTCTTCTTTACAAATTTTAACAGCTGTTTTTGGATCATTTGCTCATGGTGGTAATGATGTAAGGTATGGATATTTAACATATTTTTTCAATAAATCAAACTGTGTATATAAGAAAAATTCACTTATATTACTACCATTGAAGTATATTCAATGCCCCTTCAGGAACACTACTCGATTTATTTCCGATCGCCACGTCCCAATGCAAATCAATGTAAAAAAGGGTGTGGTAGTGAATCATACATCAAACGAAAGCTCATGGTTCATAGAGTAGGCTAGAGACAAAACTAAATGTTAGTATTTTACAAAGTTTGAATTAACCGAAATAACGTCTACATAAATAGCTTCCGTTGTCTGTCATGGTTTCGTTGTTTTTCTTTTCACGTTCGATCAGAACTGTAATTTCTTTTATCCTTTAGGAGATCACAGTAATCCTGAACGTTTGCACATCTTTTTACATAAAATGAATGACATGCATGGATGTTCTTCTTTTTCATACACCATTTGTAATATCACATTTTTAAACGAGAAAGCATATTCAATAGGAACTATGCTTCTTAGAATTGAAATGTGGGATACGTAAGGGTCTAAGGCTTTCTTAAATGAAATGAGATACTTGTACGTTAGATTTGAATTACGGATCTTTTATGAATTACTGGTATATCAAAGTATAAATCCGCTTTAGGCTAAACTAACATAAATTTTATATGCTGTCACCCATTCGGTTATTTAAAGATACCGTGGTGAACATTCGCTTCATACAAAGTTTTCATGAGGAAGAATGGTAGTCATAATCATTTTCAGACTACTCATTCAAAACAATAGTAGTGGTAAACTTGTTTCACTGCTAACCCATTATAAAACATGAAGTCCATGTTTAAACAATTCACTTAACGTGTAAGTTTTTTATGAATTATTTTTTATGCAGTAATGCTATCGGGCCGTTGATTGGTTTATGGCTTATTGCCACAACACAATCAGTTGACTCATCGAAAACTACAGATATTTGGATTTTGGTTTATGGTGGTGTTGGTATATCAGTTGGTCTTTGGATATGGGGTAGACGAGTTATTCAAACATTAGGTGAAGATCTGACGAAAATATCACCTTCCAGGTAAGTTGGTGATGTTTTTGCGCAGAAATATGTTTATTGTAGATATTCTGTGTGTTAAATACCATCTTTCAATCAATTTGAATAGTTTTGGTTGTAATTTATATTTCATTTTTCATATTTATTCGAATGTTTCTATTTGCTTGATCTGTGAAATCGTTTTTCACAACTGACACTTTATTTTAGGTCATAAGATTCATTCTCTGATGGAACAACAGTAAGTAAAAACATGAATTTAAAGAAGAATGTTGGATCACTGTGGTGGTGGGATGTAGTCGACAAGAACTTTTCTTCAGTAATCGACATCTTATTTGATTCTGACAGTGCACATTAAAGTGGCTTTTTAGTGTCATCTTTTTTAAAGTGTACTTTGTGTCCACTGTGAGAGTCATCTGATGGGATGCAAAGAAAGTGAAATTATAACGAGTGTTTAGTATTTTTTAGTTTTTCGGTATGCAATACTCAATAACTTACAATACTTTTCAGCTAGTCACTTAGTTAATATTCAGCGATCAAGACGTGGAGACAGTTGTGTCCCTTTTCTTCTGTTCCTTTTTTTGAAGGAATTTATGGGGATCGTTAAATGTTCATAGCTTACATCACGGGTTGATTTTACTTAAGCAACCGGTATGGGACTGCTCGTTAATGAGCATCCTTAACCCCACTGAGGATCAAGTTTAAGAACTTAATTTCTTGAGATGAGCACTTAACCTTCAGACCACTGAGCTTGCATCTAATGGTTTACACCAACTGCAATCAATTAGCGATGTTGTGCAACCACAATCCATTTCCTGTGATGGGTAACCGTCTCACACTTGACTGGTCACGCTTTCTCATTGGAACTTCTGGAAGTTTGTCATTATTGAACACAACTATTATTGGTACGGCGTTTGTAGAAATAGTTGGATTGGTTTCGTTTATATACACTATATGTAGGTCGGGCGTAAGTGTATGAAAATGGCAGTTCAAGAAAACTCACTGATTCTTTACTATACATTTTCACTGAATTGTTTATTTTTATTATTAATAAGATTAGTATCATTATTCTTTTATTTTGTTATCAGTGGTGTTTGTATTGAAATTGGTTCAGCCCTAACTGTATTAATTGCTAGTAAAATTGGTCTGCCAATATCAACTACACATTGTAAAGTTGGTTCAGTCGTATTTGTTGGACGTGCACGTTCTAGAGACAATGTTAATTGGGGTATATTTCGTAATATTCTAGCTGCATGGTTGGTAACCTTACCCGCTGCTGGTGCTATCTCTGCTTTACTCATGTATATATTTACATTTGTAGTATGAATTTAGTTTATTATTATATTATTATTATTAATAAATATTTTATGATTAAAAAATCTGTTTTTATAAGTAAAAAGAACGAACAGAATAAACTAAATCTCACAAATCATTAATGTAACTTCTTGTTTGTATCCTCATTCATTTTGAGCGAACTGATTGATTTTTTTCTGCTCACTTCTTCATTTACCTACTAGATTTCTATTGTTTTTGTTTTTTTTTTCGTTCAACACATCCGCTTGTAAACACATATGCACATACACAGAATAGAAAAACATTTACTTTTCTCCCTCGTTATCATTACCATTATTATGAACTGATCTCGTATTAATTAGATAAATGTTCTTATTCGTACAAGTGGTGATGGTTTATTTAGTTGATGTTCTGTTTAAAAATAAAAGTTCCCTTAATCTCTCACCATCTTTATTACGTTCAACGTCTGTGGAAATAGTACCCTGTTCACCAGTTAACACTGTACACAGTTTACTCACATACGTACACATAAACAGAGACAAGGAATAGTAAAAAGAAAACAGATTTGTAGCAACATCCTTTTGAATTGTAACATAAAACATTATTGTTTCCTTGTAATTTTGTTTTTATCAACTAATATTAGTGAAAAAAGGTTTTATTTTTCTAGTTACTACTTCCTTGATAAGTTGTTTGTTTAATGAGCAGTTATTATTAATTATTAATTTATGATGTGATTCAATTAATTAATTAAGAGAACCTTTGAAAAATGTTTGTTCGGTTGTTTTTTTTCCCATGTTTCTTTATTAATCATATAAACTATAGGATAGATAAATTGAACTAATGATATCACTTTTTGTAAGAAATAAATCTTGGATTTGTTTCGATCAATGATGAAACGACGTTAATACATAGTAAAATGGTATTACATTCACTTTGAACACCATTATTTACAGTGGTGTTATTTTCTCTGAGCTGGATGGTTTGTTGTAGGGTCTTTTTTTATTGTCGTCGTTGACTGCATCATGTAGAATATTCTGATGGAGATTTTCAAACAATGATAAATGCTTTGCAATTAAATCATCCATTTGATGAAAGTACATAACACTACCAAATGGATTGCTAGGAGCTGCAAACGTTCTCCATTATTTCGATATTACTTATCTTTGAATAGTGGATAGATAATGGATGTTATGATATTGTATCTTAGATCTTATTTCAATATACTGAGTTATCTCAGAATGTATCTTTACATATAGACTTTTTAGTGGGTAAAAATGTACTAGTTAGATGATATTGTATTTTATCCAGTGAGTGAATATAATTGTAGTGGGTAAGATAGGTATATTGAAATGATAATGGTTGTCAACGATATGTGTAAAGTGAATAATACATATAAATGTATCAATAGTAGTTGTATATATCTTTTATGATGGTAAGAGTGCTGATAATTTCAATACTGTAAATCAATCATGATACTGAGGAAGGAAGGTGATTTACTGTGTTTGTTTTATGTCGGTTTCGAAGTATCTGGACTATACAGTTTACTAAGATTCCCTGCAAAAAACCACTAAGTCCACCGTATTGTACGCGATTAACGAGGACGTGAAATGGATCCGAAGTTTTGGTCGTCAGTCTAGTGCAAGCTTTTTCAAAGAAGATAATCAAATATAAATACATAGTTCACAGGTCGATTGTATGCTAAACAAATTGTCCAATCACGTGAACAACGCTTTAAGTGGGATTTGTTGTGGTACGTACGAGTCACTTGGTATGAAAAGTATGGAAAATTGTGATAAGATAGCATGTGTATGTGTGTTTATGTAGATTTGATGTGATAAAAATTTACCGACCTCATATCCCTCTGGTTATGATTGTTGGTGCAATTCAGTGATTTGATAGATGTCATAAATTCAACATGTCGCAGCATACATAAAATGAGGACGACTAGAGAGATAAATGTAAATTTGTGTTGTGTTAAACAAGCGGGTCGTTCATCGTATATTTGACAAATTAACTGATTAGAACAAATGGAAAATAGTAGTTATTGTCCACATAATGAAAGAAGTGAAATAGAGTACAAATTGATCTATTAATTACTAGTTGCCATCGGGAAACTAATTGTATTCTATCTCTTCTACGTATATTGTTTGATTTTGTCTATATATGTAGGGCTCCAGCTTTTAATAGTCTTGTGCGAAACAAAACCTTTAGAAGGATTCTTGTGCCACTGAAGTCAGTTGTACGTCTCGATTCTATTGAATTCAACCCTTTTGCCGACTTGTTTCCTAGTTTATTGAGGCCTTCTGAGCTTTAGGCAGAGTTTGTGTCTCCTCACCCGTGCACTGAACCATCGTGATGTCTCGTTTACTTATACATGGTCATAGTCTTTACATTTGGTCACATAGACTCGATTTTGCTATTTCTTTCATATTGTATGCTAGAGCCTTACTAGTTTAGCATTAAGAGTATTGTTCGTTCAACAACAAAAACACGTATTGTAGTGCTTTAGGGCCACTCCGATTTCTGACGATTAACTATATTGATCCATTCTCTTAGTTTTTCTTTTCGCTTATCTTTCTGACCCTAACCATTCCTTTTAAAACGTCCTTAGGTTGGTTATTCATCAAAGTAGACATAAGCAAATCCAAACCAGCTTCTTTATCAATTAGTTCTGAGACGAGTTTCTGAACTCTGTTATCGGATTCGTAGCGACTCTCACCTTTGTAAAAGGAACATGTGATGACTTGTAATCTAGATATGTTTCGGAATATGTTTGATTTTGGAATATAACAATGTTTAAACAACCATCACTCTTCCTCACAAGCAAACAGTCAAGAAATGGCAGTTTGCGATCAGTGGATCTGATTTCTGTAATGTACTTGGTGTTATCAGATATACTGCTGACGTTTTTAGAAAATTCGTCTCAATCTCATTCGTAATGATAAATCGGTTATCTATATATCTCAACGAGATTGTAGGTGATTGGGGACAATTTGAGATTTCTGTCGTTTCCAATCAATGAACAAACAGGTTAGCCATATTTGCGGCTATCGGTGATCTCGCAACCAACAGTCGACCTTATTAATTGAAGCCACATCTTAGTTTGACTGCCTCTAGCTAGTAAAATTATTTAGTAAGTCGTATCTGGCAAAGCAGAGCATATAAGTTTTACGAGATTTTTCTCGACAGATAAATTAGGGTCATCGACATTGAATCCGATAGGGAAAAGACCAAGTATACTATGTATCGCTCCAAATAATTTGGTTTTATCTATCGCATAACCACTGTCAAGCAGGTGCGCCAAGATAGAGTTGTGTATTGTCTTTGTCTGAACATTCCCTAACCATGAAGAGAAGCTCATTTGTACTGATAGTTTTAATTTCTCCACCAGATGTTAAGAAGTGCAATTGTTCGGTGCTCCACGGCATATGTGTATCCCAGTGAGTGAAAATCAACTCTCGGATACAGGTATATCCAGTTGATGAGTCCCAAATAGAGTGAAATGCACGTTCTCGATTCCACTGCTAGCCACCATCCATCTTTGCTTACAGACAGAGAGATGCTTACTCAATGGCTGATTAAATTTCTTGATAGTACACTCAACAAATGCAAGTAATTTTACAGAGTTTTTGGGTCTATAGAACTAAACTACAAATAAGGGTATAGTCATTGCATGTTTTGCCTGCATCGTTATGTGGTGGTTTAGCTTTAAGAAAATTTGAGAAATGTTTAGAAATAAGTGAAGATATTTCATAGTATTATGGTTATGGATTGTTGACATTTCTTGGATAATTAAATCAAACATCCATTTGAACTGCTGTACCATACTAATCCAATGTCAGTAGTTCTCATGAATTCAATTACTCAATTACGTACTTTTGTTCTAGCTTAAATGAAAAAGATATAGTCGTGGGAATGTATTGACTGTTTATTGGTGTGATCAATTTATGTGCCTATGACTGACAGATTTCAATGCTCTGCTCCCTGACTCGGATAAATACGGAAACACCTGACTAACTAGACTCACTTCTACAAATCGGGATATTCTTTTGTATTTATATCAGTATATTTACCTTCATTGTCTTTTTTAACTATGAGGAACAATCTTTGTTATCCTATTTCAATATTTATCGGATTCTGCTTATTATTTGGGAACTTATACAACGATGCACAATCAGCTTATAGTGTCGACCGACCGGTTAAATTATGAGGAAATTATGGATGAAATCAACTAAGTAACCTTTCTTTTGAAAACTTTACATAATCGCGAACCATTTTAATGAAACTGGAACGTCATTACAGAGATAATTTAATTGTTTATAAGGGAATATGCATGGCATTTGTGACAAGGTCTTAATTATGAAGAAAAAAACATTTAATTAACAGCTGATTGACAATTAATGGTTGTTATTGATTTATTTACTCAAGGTCACCAAAATCACGTGTTTAAATACAGATACTTATTGGCGTATCATTATATCAACATGAGAAAAAGTGTGCTGTTAATGGACTTAATCTCTAACCAGAATTTATTTAGCACTCAAATAGCAAACTTCAGTATGCTGACTAAATATTTCAACTGGAAATCAATAAAAAAAGAAGTAAAAACTGTTTAGATTAGCTTTAGTGCATTCGTTAACTCTATAGCAATTAATAATTTACTTTTTTCAACTCTTAAACACGCATACACATATTCAAGGCCATGTATAGTTGATTCAGTAAATTGTCAACAAAAAAACTTACCTCTAGCCTATAAGCACATCTCTGCAAATTCATTGTACATCTGTTTACATATATGTATGCATAATTAATAATACTAGACCTATTAAAAGAATATCTCATGATCAGGATATGCTTAAGAGTTTAGTTACCAAAATCCAGATTCATTTGTGCATTTTTACTCTAATGACAATGTTTACGGGAGGTTATTTGAACGGAGATAAATGATGTTAGAATTTTAAAAACTGGTAAGTCATAAATAGTTGTTATTTCACCTGAATATAAATCCAAAGATTTTAAGTTTTTAACAAATATACTTTCACTGAAGACAACCATTCACTTGTATAATACCCCAATGGTAAACGAATCCAAATACTTTCAGAAGGTGTATACATTAATTGTGTTAATAGTCACTTAAATATGATTTAGTTACCAGCGTAGTTTACGAAAAATAGTAAGCCTGTTTGCAGTTTGAATGATTCGTAATACAGTTTAGATGGTGAAGAGGGATTTTTTAATTGCACACCTTTTAAAATTAATTCCTGAAGGAGGTATGATTCTAGGGTGGACTAATTATGGGGTACTTCCTCCTCCATGGTTTTATAACTTGCGTTTACCTAATTCGTTTATGATTGATACTATCACTTACACATCTTTCCTTATTTTTATTATTATTATTCTTGTGAACAAGTGGGGAATTTAATTAACACTCGATCCACTTAACCATTTCTTACTTAATCCATATTAAATGATTTATTACGCAATCTTTGGGTAATGATTTGGTCCCTACCTATCACTCTATATCATATGTATTTGTTCTGAATATTGATTTTGTAATTCTAAATTGATCTACAAATCGATTTAACTTAACACTGTATGGTAGTCACTTCGACACTGAGAAGAATTATTCATTTGTGTTCCGCTGGATGCAGAGATTGTAGTTCTATTATTACATATTTATTCTGACCAGCGATCTCACACTTTCATTTGTGTTTTTTGTTTGAATCTTCCTAACTGATTAGAGGCTGATCAACTGCAGTCCTCAACATTGGTGGGAAGATTCATACAACCAATACAAATTAATTAAACCTCACCTCATTGCACAAGCCAGGGGTTATCTGAACTCAGTAGCTATGTGTATAACGCGATGGATTTTGAAGTCTGCTTACTGACTGGTTAGTAATACTCTTGTATATTAATGGAACCGATGAACATACATACTAGGTTCTACATTAAGACTGACTGATTAACTGAGGCTCTGGACAGTGCTATTAATTTGATTTCATGCTATATAATTATTTATATAAATAACTTGTTATGCTTCTCATAAAGCGTTATTGTTATGACTAAGAACTTAATTGATTTCGTCTTCTAGACTCGCCAATCAAAATGTTGACTGGGAATAATCACAACTCTTATTGGTCACGAGCGTATACTCTTCAACCAGCCCAACCTTCAGTGCTATAATAGGACATAGCAAGCAGTAGTGCATTAGTAGTTTCATTGTCATCAGTCTCAAGCACTCATTAGTTTATATGCACGAATTATTACCAGACTGCAGCATACTCCAAGTGTGAAATATTACCGAATGTTCTGAAGTCTTAAACACTTGCTTAATCATAATATTTATTTAATCCAAATACCTTGCTAAGTATTAGACCATTCATTAAAAAAATTACTGTTACAATGTTTTACGTAAATCTTGTCAAACTCGGAATTCATTACTCATTAAAAAAATGGTTAATCAGCATTACAAAAATCTGCCGAAACTTCATAACTGTTAATTTAAGAATAAAAACATCAATATCTGATAATGATAAGGATGACTAGTATTATGTTTCTTGATAAAATAAATCATTTATGAATAGCCCACTACTTACTATAAGCTACTATGAGTACCCTTAAACAACGTTAAACCACGTAATTATATTCAATGTTTTCATATACCGTTATGTTCTTTTTGAGGAACACAATTTATGCAAATACATATTTTCAGTAATCAAATGTTACCTTTACAAAAGAGTATACACATATAGATGCATTGTTTCAAGTACTAAAAAATTCAACCAGAAGTTGAGTTCGAACAAGACATTTTCAAGTAAAATATCTAACTAACATACCATGTCTCATTCTAACTAAATCACAGTTTCAAATGAATTATAGAATCTAGTATACCTATGTTTTCCATTGTTTTACACTGATTATTCATGTCTTCTCAACCTGTTTAAAATCGATGATTATGCGGAGAATGTAGGTCACTTTTGACAATGTTACATGTGTTTCTTATTGGACTTTTATTTTTTTAAAAATTAACTCTCACATTTTCAGACAATTGTTTGAATGAATAGGTTTAGAAACGAATGTTTGTCTCTAAATATAGCAGAAACTCTAAGTCCTAATATTTAGGTGCCTATTTTCTTGTTCTCACCCAGTAGTACTTCGTAAATAAGTTATTTAAAAGAAAAACCCTAAACTTCCTGGATGAAATAGACTTGATATGACATATTGATTTTCTTGAATTAGAATATAACGGTGGTCCAATTCCCTGTTTCTCTGTAATTGTTTAAGTGATTGCCAACTGTAAATGGAATCAATGTCTAAGCAGTGAATGACACTGATAAGGTAGGATAATCTAAAATGTTTTCGCTTATTTTTTTTACATGATGTTTCGTAAAATTTAAGTCAGTCAGTCAAATGATATTTATTTGTCTATTTAAACTGCTCAAGTATAATCACTTTTCAATTGTTGAGATCATGAGTCAGTTGAAACTAGGTCACCATGGAAAACCTGGAAGCACTGGACGACCATTTCGTCCTATTGTGAAGCTCCTAAGGAGTTCACAAAAACCCCTTCTGATATAATCACTTTGTTCATTAATTGTAATACTTATGAAAGTGTAAGAATATTGTTATCTGTAATTGCCCAGGTTTCGAATTATGTAATACAAATCATGCATTCAACAAAGTTGTGAAAAAGTTCAACACATTGGTAATATTGAATTGTATGAACTCACGTATTTATGAGTGTGGAACGTTCCAAATATTAAAGAAAACATATTTTTTATAAACATAATGAGACAAGTTTTGAACGTTCTATTTTTTGCATAGAATTCTAGAAAAATACGACGTCAAATTCAAACACTACACAAACACATATTTGGCTGCAATGAATTTCGAATTTAAACGTACCTCTGACATATCAACATTATCGAATAAAGAGACTGAAAGTAAATTTGAGAAAAAACATGAAAATATTACAATCCTTAAACAGGACTTTTCGAGCCCGCTAGATGGTGATAATGACAATGGTGAACAATTCAAATTATCTGGAAATTCAACAGAAGTGAAAAGCTCTTCATCTCATTCTCTAGAATCTCTAAATACAATGATAATATCAAAAGTGTATGTTTTCATGTTTTATGTTTATATATTTCAAAACATATTGGGAAAAGTGAAATTTGTGTATTGAGTCTTGTATTCAATAAGACTCATCAGATAATATTTTAGTTCACGAAACAAATTGTAGACCTTTAGGTGTTTCAAGTGGATGATGTTTGGTGCTACCTAACAAGCAAAGGTTTTTGGTTGCTGCTGTATAAGTTCCAATAAAAACTATAGGTTTGGATCTTACAGATGTATTTGCCCAATGTGATTCAGTGTTTATAGTTTTTAGGCTCCAAATTCTCGTATTACTGGTTGAAGGACATAGATGAGACAGTGAATTTAATCATGGAGACCGTTTTGAACTACGTTTTATTATAACTTATAAGAATCTATATTTGAAATTTATATATCTGAATGTTCAACCAATTTACCAGGTGGTTATTTGTGTAGCTTTTTAGAACAAATGTTCTGAAATTCTGTATAGTTATTTTAACAAAAGTTTATTGGTTGCCACTGATTTTATCAGGGCTGGAAGTTTTGTAGTTCTATATATTCCTCGATAGAAATTCTCAATGATTTTTTTCTTCTAAAGATAGTTTTCATTATGAATTTATAACAGCTGGAATTCTGTTGAAAACTCGGAAAGAATATACAGTTATTGGGTTCTATTTTTAAAACTCATTCGTAATATGCTTCTGCTGCCTTACAGATATCTTTAAGTTTGTTGGGAGGCCTTTGGCTCAAAATACATTGTTTCCTTTTTCATCTCCACCTACTTTGTGACATAAAATAAACATTACCCTTTGCACCAGAGGGTGACTACTTTAATCCCAACTTCACTAGTTACCGATGGTGAAGGTTACCCTTGGGATTCAAAAACTCTAGACGATAAAGATTTTTTAATTATTGTCATCATGGTTCAAATATCCCATTTTGTGGAAATCTATCTCAATACAAGTAATTTTAAATAATGAAAACTGGGTTTCCCTGATTAGGGTTTAGAGGTATTTAACTTCAAATATCGTAATCGTAAAATACCGTCTTTCGAAAATTACCCTTGTAGGTAAACATATATTTTCGGAAATGTAGGTCTCACAAGCTAAACATAATATCGTGTTACATTTTATTTTAATCTACCGAATATATGTTTAAATAAATGTGTGATCGATAAATCAAGTCACTGACTTATGATCGCGGATGCACACTGCTGAGGAGTCCCACGATAGGACGAAACAGTCTTTCAGTTCTTTCAGGTTTTCCATGGTAATCTATCATCAATCGGTTCATGATCTCAACCAAAAACTTAATAATCTCCACAACCGTGTACTGGAAAATTAGTAAAGATTAATAGTTTTTTCTTACTGATATTCGTGTTAGTTATCATCTTAACTTTTTTTGAAAATCTTATCATTAAATATGAATATTGAAGTGATTCACTAACGGAGACTGATTAAAATCCATTTATAAATAATCATAAGAATAAGAAGTAGTATTAACCATTATTAAGATATTTACATTGTAGATATTTGATATGCATAAAAATAAATTTATTCACATCTTACCGATAAACTATTCGTTGAGAAAAACAAAATTCGTAGTCTTATTGTGTTTCTATGAATTTCTATAGACCTAGAAGCATATCAAAAATTTTTATGGGAAGATATAAAGACAAGTAAATATAACCTTTTTTTTTTATTCTTTATATTATCATCAATATTATTGTACAGAATTTGATTGTTATTTGCCGAAGTAATTCATTGATTTTATACACATCTTTAACCATGTGATTAAGAAAGTATTTTTTTTTCCTTTTTTCTTTATAAAGAAAAAAATAATCTCTAAGATTCATTTATTTTAATACAGATACAATGTAATTTTGACAAATATGTACACTCCAGTCATCATTCATAATGATGACATTTATAAATAGTCAATAAATCAGCTGAAATAAATCTTAACAATGTACAATAGTTATGCTATATATATATATATATATATATATATATATATATATATATATATATATATAGCTGGTTTGAATAATTTCTTCTGGTTAGCGTTTTTTTAGCGAGTTAGTTTTCTATCGGATGGGGTCACTAACCCCATGCCAAACATTCCTCCTTTATACGGGTTAGGGACCGGGAGTAGCTCTAGAGGGGCTCTGTGCTTTAAATAATCACTATATGGTAATCGAGAGTTTGCTTGATAATAAGCAATAATAGAATAGTGGATAATTATTTTTATTGTTAGTAATATTTTAACAAGGGTATAGATTACATTGTCTTATCATTTTAAAATATCAAAAAAAGGATCACGGTGATGATGTCAAAAAAACAACACAATAAACACATAAATAAATTAGTTAACATAATCAATACAGAGTCAACGATATCCACTTCATCATAACCAATGTAGAAGTAAACGATGAGTCATGTATATAATATTAACGGGAAAAAGTTTTTGTTTACATTTTGTATTCTATGAACACATGACAAGTTTATTTTCAACGAAAATTTTCTAGACTTCATTTCTATCATTCAAAATAAGAAGTTAATACAAAGAGATGAATAGTTAAATAAACAAATTTTTGAGTAGTTAAGTAAAAGTAATCAAATCGAACCATATTTCATTTTTTGATTAAGATTATGAATCGATTGATTGAAAACCTGAAAGCATTGGACGTCCATTTGGTCCTATTATAGCATTCTTCAGTAGCACTCATCCACGATCCTGCTGGCAGGATTCAAACCCAGAACTTTCGATCTTTCGCGCAAACGCTTAACCTCTAGACTACTGAGTTAGCATCCAATGGTGTTAATAACTAATCTCAATCAAGTTTTATTTTGTGTATACTATAGTTTAAATAATATAGATCTGCTTCATACAAATTCAAGTATAATCTTAAAGTTCATAATTCCTATTCAATCTTTCATAAATTTTTAGATCTGTGAATCGTCAATTTTCTGTACCAGATGCTCCAATTCCATTGAAATTTACTCCAGTCAACGTTGACTTGTTACCATTAGATTTATTGTCTGATTCACAGAATAAAACCATACATGAATTACTTAGTCATAATGAATCTTGTAAGTTTATTATTAAACATATTTAAAAAAATAATAATATTGAGGTAAACAATTGTTTCATTATTAGGCTTTATAAATTGTTGTATCATGTTAAAGTGCTAAAATAAGCCATGAACATGTCAATGTGACAATGTTTGGTGTTAAAAAAATTGATAAATTTTTTTTGTTAAAATTTCGATCACTATGCATACATAAAAAGGAGGCCCCGGTTAGAGTGGGATGGAGAATGCTTGTCGGCGGCCTATGTTTCATTGGGAGTAACAGGCTCGGAGCGAAGCATGCGCACATAAACTAGTCAGCTGTCCTTACATATCTAATTTTATTCCGATAACTGTTTCAAGCGCATTTGCCTTAAAATATGCAATTCGATTGTATTTAATAGTTGATTTTTCAACTCCATGTCTTTCTTAACTAATATTTCTCCATAGTGTCTTTTCTGAGGTATTATTGTGATGAATTCGATCTCTTTGAAGATCTTTGCGGCATAACCCAAGATATTTCTTACAAAGGATAAGAAACATAGAAATATACAGTCTATTCCAATGTTTTAAGACTTACCAGTTAGATGTACCAAAATGACATTGTTGATATTCTTGTTGGAAATAAAATCTAGTTACTATCTATTGATAATCTATTGATAAAATAATATATTTGTAATATCCCAATGAGTAGAAAAAAATTATTTTTTTAAAATTTTGTGACGTTTCGTGACTCAATGTCAATCACTTTTCCAGAGAAAAAATAAACAAAGCCCGGGTTAATTTCATTTATTTATTCTCTGAAGAAGTGGCTTACAGTGAGTCACGAAACGTCAGTAAAATGTTATTTTTTTCTCATTGGAATATTACAAATATATTATTTTAACAATAACAATCTACCTGATATTCAATTAACTTAAAATTATTAAGTCAAACCTTAGTAATGATACCTATCTATTAAAACTTCAGGGAATTACTCACTAAGCTTTTAAATAAAAGTATCACTTTTCGATAACGTAACAAGAAGACGAAGATTATCAGAACTATGTGATATATTAGCGTAATATATTTCGAACAATCTGATCACATATATACTTGTTAAGGACATTTATATATAAAAAATAGAAGGTCAACCAGACTGGAAATCGGGTGAAAGGAGACAAGGATAATCATAATGTGAACATAATTTGAAACCTAATCATTCTGGATAATAAGCCAATATAAACAGGATGAGTTTAAGGTGAGAACAAACTGTTTTTGAATACACTAAGGGGGTTTGAATTTTCGAATGGCTAAGGCTTCAATAAACCTTAGTAAACGTCATTTTACACTTTCATACAATACCACAAAAGCCGAGTTAAAACCTGTTTCGATTATATGTTTACCAATAGAGGATGATGGATCTTTATCCTCTACTCTTATTAGGTCACTTGATTCTTTTCAACGAATTTATTATCAAGCTGTACAATCGTATATATATACCCGGGTTTCGTTGCGCGACCATCTTCCATTGTAAAGCGGTAGATACCTGGCTCTAATGGACACGGATTAGCTCCACTGGTCACGGGTTCTCACTAGAACTCCGAGAATTTTCTCACGAAGCTAGTCACCAGTGAGCACATAGTAACTATCATTTTAGGGGTTGTGGAGACTATTAAATTTTTGATTGAGATCATGAACCGATTGATGTTAGACCACCATTGGAAACCTGGAAGACTTGGACGGCCTTTTCGTCCTATTGTGGGACTCCTCAGTAGTGCGCACCCCGTGACCAGTGGAGATAATCCGTGTCGGGTAGAAACAGGTGTCTACCTCAGTACAATGGGAGATGGTTGCGCAACTTCGTGGATTGGATGAGGTTAGACATTAACACCATTGGATGCCTGATCAGTGGTCCAGTAGGTTAAGCGTTCGTACGCCAGACTGAATACCCTGGGTTCGAATCCCGCGAGCGGGGTCGTGGATGCACACTGCTGAGGAGTTCCACGGTATGACGAATTGGTCATCCAGTGCTTCCAGGTTTTTAATGGTGGTCTAACATCAATCGGTTCATGATCTCAATCAAAAACTTAACAATCTCCATAACCCCTAAACTGATATTCAAAAACAGTTTGTTCTCACCTTAAACTCATCCTTTTAATATTGGCTTATTATTCAGAGTGATTAGGTTTCAAATTATGTTCACATTATGATTATCCTTGTCTCCTTTTACCCGATTTCCAGTCTGGTTGACCTTCTATTTTTTATATATAAATGTCCTTAACAAGTATATGTGTGATCAGATTGTTCGAAATGTATTACGCTAATATATCACATAGTTCTGATAATCTTTGTCTTCTTGTTACATTATCAAAATTTATCAAAGGGACTAATTGCTTTAAATTTCTTTAAAGAAGACTCTCTGCACATGTTTATCATGTGTTTGCACGGTATAATGTTTGAAATAGTTATTTCTTTGATTATCTAATAAACTGTGGTGATTCATATCAGAAATTATTACTGAAATCATTACAGAAATTCAATAGTCTCATAATGCTTTATTATTTCTACTAATATATGATAAACTATAAATTTCATAAGAGATTATTCTTATTTGAGCCGACTGTATATTTAATTCTTGATTTTTATAGTTCAGGTTTAGTCAAATAATAAAGGGAATTGATTTTAGTACTAGTAGTAGTATCAGAATGTAACTAACATCTCTTCAAATTACGTTTTGGAGATGGTGTAACGAGTTGAGATTGTACCAAAAAATCAATTTGTTAGTTATTGTAAAAAGTAACGTTTTTATATTCTCACTAACTAATATTTGAAATCATAGTGACACTTTGGCTTACTGGATAATGATCTCGGATTGAGAACCATAGTTAATGTGTAGGAATCACAGTTAGAATGTCAACGTAAATTTAATTATAGGCAACTGAAAATTTAGAAAATGAATTACCGACTACGACTCAAATGATAATTACTCGATTTTATTCGGTGTAACTGGATATTTCGAGTATTAAATAAGAATTATAATTTCATTAATTTCCTTCTTCTTCACAAATTATAAATTTAGTCACTGAAAGCGAACAGATCAAATTGTTGAACAATGAAGATTATATGGACATAAAGGTAACATTTTAAAAATAATTCTAGTAACATTCCACGTAGTGTATCAATTATTTTTTGAGAGTCCCCGTATATTTTAATAGGTAAGATCGTGAGTCAGTTGAAGCTAGATCACCATGGAACATCTAAATGCACTGGGAGGCTGTTTCGTCCTACTGTGGGACTCCCCATCAGTGGGCATGCACGATCCTGCCTCACGATATATATATATATATATATATATATATATATATATATATATATAAGCATAGAAATAATTCTTGTTCTTTGACATCTATACAGTCATATTGGCGTGAGATGGGGTCTATTTATATTCCAGATTCATCAAATAATCAAGATGATTACATTTCTTAATTGTTATGCAAATCGATTAAATTTGAAAATTAGGCCGGTCAGAATCCAGTTAAGTGAGTAAATGATATCTTGTTAGCTGGGAGATCTAAGAGGTTTGCGTTTGACATAGTGTATAATCATGAATATGTACGACTTAGAAGATACAGATTAATACAGAACAAATTCAAATTTAGAAATATTCTTCATTTAATTTTACTTTAAGTAACAAACTGTTTTCGAAAAACATGAATGCTATAATCGGAATTCTCTGAGTGTAGTAAATAACAGCAAAAAGGATGAATTAATAAATCCTTGAAGAAATCCCAATGACTAAGATCGGTTGTTTGAAAGTAGATATGTGTAGATCAAAATGAAGACTAAAATAGTGTAGTAGAAAAATTGAGTCGAACTAACCTCCCGTAGGACTGAGAAGTATTTACAACTGACTGATCACTGGCTAATGATGAATGTTGTATGTATCGGGTCCTTCTTAGTGCGGATAGATTTTTATTCATCACGTTGCAATCTAACATTATTATATTAAAATGTAAGGTAGTGGCTGGAGGTGGTCGACAGGAACTCGTGTATCTACAGGGAGACAGTCGCATCCCGGATGGCTAAACGGCAACGTGCATGACTGACAAGCCGGTTGATATGAGATTAAATCCGCTAGGGAGCATCAGTTTCCGTCAAGGTTACAGGTACGCTTTGCTGACGAATGCACCATCTTACATATCAACATAGTGCATGCAATCTCGAGTCACCTAGACTGATGACCTTAATGCAACTTGTTCGATAGAATTTGATTTTCAATAAGAAGGATTTGGCACATACAACAATGATCACTACCCAGTGGTCAATCAATTTTAAAAACCAGTATATACTTAGTTCTTTAATTATCTGTTCAAAATCCCTAACCACTTTTATGATCAGTCACTGATTGAGACGAAATATTTTGTGAGTTCGATTTCCAATAGTAACATTTCTAGTACTCTGAATAAAACGCAATAATTTTAACTTTTTTTAATGACAAATTAATAGGAAACCACAAATAAAATTCGTTCACATTTGGATTACCTTCATAAACATGAAAGTCAACATTTAAAGATTTTGGAAGAAATTAAAACGGTAAAAGTTTACACATTTTTCTATGATTTAATATGAAGGACTATTTAATTGATCAAAGACATTAGTGTAGATACATATTTGAAGTTTGTGCTGATGATATCGTTCAGAAGAACGATGAAAGCTCCACGACCAAACCATCCAGCTCAGAGAACTAAACTCCATCAACATATAAATGTTTGTATGACACATAGAATTGATCATTATTATTCTTTTAGTTCTTAAGAGTAGATGTAAAATAGAAAAGATACATAAGTTAATTGTTTATCATTCATTTTATATATTAAGTTGAAATGATGTAATTACTTACCTAAAAATATTTACAGAAGTGATTGAGTTCAGTTTACAAATCATCATAAATAATGAAGTGAATCGACAATATTGAAATCTTCTAAGCTTTTAATGTATAGACTAAAGTCAACTTCTATTGATTATTATTAGTAAACAAATATGTAGTTGATAAGAACATACAATAACTTTGGAAACCTTTTTTTTTAAATTTTTTTATTTACTAATGTTTATTTGAGTATATGAGTTGAATGGATGCATCACCTTGACACAAAGCACAAAAATGTAACATCTAAATAAAGAACTTAATTATTAAAAGTATAATTTTAATTATTAACTACCCTATGATCAATAAATGTGAATTGAACATTATTAACTTATAAACATTAAATAGTCAATTTTAGATAAATCTATGTCTTAGTAACCATTTTAATTTTATTTTTGTAGATATGTAGAAAACAAAAAATTATGTTAAGATATATTCTATCCAATTATATTATCAATTGAACATTGAGAATAACTTACAAATAAATAATCTCAAATGGGTTTTGTGGATATTATAATAATTTCAATGGTTAAGATCATGATTAGTTGAAGTTAAACATTAACACCGTTGGATGCCGGCTGAGTGGTCTAGTGGTTAAGTGATCAAGTGCGAAAATAATAGGTCCTGAGTTCGAATCTCGCAGAATGCGAGGTCATGGATGCGCACTGCTGAGGAGTCCCACAATAAAACGAAACGGCCGTCCAGTGCTTCCAGGTTTTCCATGGTGGTCTAGCTTCAACTGACTCATGATCTTAACCATTGAAATAAGTAATCAATAAATTTGAAAAAAAACTTAGCAAAGGAGTAAATTAGCAAGCATTTTATAAAATAAAGGATTATTAACAAAACTTTGTATTAATCGCATCTGTTGATGTTATTTTCAAATAAACTGTAAGGTTTTACATATATTTAAGAATATATTTTAATCCGATTAAGGTTTTGTGGAGATTTTAGTAATTTAATAGTTGGATTCATGAGTCAATTAAAGCTAGATCACCATGGAAGCCCTGGAATATTTGGATAGTGGTTTCATTTTAGTATGGGACTCCTCAGCAGTCCGCATCTACGATCTCGTTCGTGGGATTCGAACCCAGGACCTATTGTGAACGCTTAACCTGTAGACCACTGAGTTGACATGCAATGGTGTTAATGTCTCACTTCAACCAAGCCGTTCAGTGCTTCCAGGTTTTCCATGATGATCTAGCTCTAATTAATTCATGAATTGCACTATTAAATTATATATATATATTTGTTTAGTAATAACTAGTGAAGTGGTAGTGTTCAGTAATAAGTTTACAAATCCAATTGTTCGTCATAATAATTTCAAATGATTAACAAACACAATTGAATGATAGAGATGGATAATATGATAATTAATCAAGTCATAATAAATGAACGAATTGGGGTGTATGGTTTCAGGGCTAAGCATAGTATTTTCGTAGAATTAACAAAGTATTCAGATAGGAAATCTAATATTAATAACAGTCGAGTAATAATAAATTTGAAGATGTGATTAAAGGATTGATCATAATATATGCGGTGAACTGAATGCAATAAAGAATCGGAACTACTATTTCTACGTCGAACAAATTAATCCTCAGGTACCCAATGAACATGCATTATTGGTTCGACATGGAATTTTATAGCCATTCCGATGGATTTACAACGAGTTCTTCACTGGATTCACTTGTCTTTGACTTTTTTTAGGTAAAACTAGAGGATAGTCGACTTAAGAATCAAATAAACCAGCTACTACTTTAGTTCCGCCACATAAACGAAACGTCTAAACTACTTAATAATGTAATGGACAAAGTTATTCTACTTAAAAGATTTAACTGCATGCACCCGACTACCAGGTTGATACCATAAGAAGAATGTAATGGAAGTATGTCATTTTTAGACATCTCGTTAACAAGGAGATTGAATGGAGCATTAGAAAGAAATGTATATCGAAAATTAACATCAATTGGTCAATACACTCTCTTTTAAAATTCTTTAAGTCTCATCTACAAAAGTAACATAGTGATGAGTTTAACACAATGAGGAAATTACTTGCTTTGATGATGCTATTGAAGGTAAGCTGAGTACTTTCTATGACTTACATAACATGAACGTTTATCCATTAAGTTTATCAAGAAGCACATACCACAAGACAAAACAAAGTCAGCGAAACCACGTTTCTTAAAAAAAGTCGATTTTCCTAAAGTCTAAATTACTAAACAAGTCTTCCAACTAATAAGTAATACGTCGAATAAGAAAAGCTGTACGAAGAACATTCAGTGCAACATACCATATTTTATAACCGACCGACAATTGCAACCAGAAATAATAACGAACATCTCTCTTTTGGAACCAGTCACATTGGTTGAACCATTACTCAAATCCATCACAATATTTCTGAACATCTTCCTACCTGACTAAGTAAAAGAAAAACTAGTAATATCAATTAAGAGCCCTATACTGGTTCATTTAGTTGATGATTTTTCTTATGTAGCTATAATATTCCCTTCATGATCATTTACTTGTTGTTAATATTAAACTTCTTATTAAATATTTTATAAATCCCATTATAATCAATTCTTCAACTTAAAATTTTTTGTTACATAACTCATATTGAAATTGTACTTATCAACTAATGTAATGTATTCTATTACTATCAATCTTGAAATGAAACACCCTAATTTGTTCATTTATAAAGAAAACTTTTAATTATTTTGTTAGTCATTTACAATCATTATAATGAATAACTGAATTTGTAAACTTATTATCTAACACACTACTAACTTATCAACAAGAAAGACTAAATCTACAATTAGTTACAATCATTTATATCATTAAGTATAAAAGAAAAATGTATTAAAGTATAAAGATGTTTAAACAGTTAAGATCATGTGTCAATTGAAGCTAGACCACCATGAAAAACCTGGAAGCTTCAATTGACTCACGATCTTAACTGTTTAAATTACTACAATCTCCACAAAACCCCTTCTGATACTAATTGTAGATCATTATTCTACTATTATTACTATTATTATTTTTCTTTAACAGTCATTAGATTTTATTAAACAAAAACGTACAACAAATGAAATCATGACAATACGATTATCTGTTAATTCAATTGAAACTATACAGAAAAATTTTATTCATGGATTAAAAATTTGTCTACAAAATGGAGATGTTAATTATAAAAACTTTCTTGATCCATTCAAATTGTTAGTAAGTCCGTTTTTTTTTCTTTTTCTTCCTTTTTTTGTCGTCGTTGTTGGTAATAGTGATCTTACAAATAAGATTAGATAAACCTAGGTGATAAATATAGATGCCTTGCATAAATTCAAATGAAACAGATTAATTTCCAATTTACAGAGAGTATAAACTTTCTATGTGTACTTGTTTTTACAATGGATCTTATAAGTTTAGTCAGCGGGAAGGAGTTTGTCATTGATATCATTAATTAAGAATATAGGGATTCAACACAAACAGATAAATGGAGTACCAGGTCGGTAATACTATAGTTACTCATGAGTTATTACTTGTTCCATTTAGAAACTATTTATTACTGGTATACTAACCGCTATTCCAGCTAAATGTATTGTTTTCAAGCATAAAGAATTTTTATGAACTAGTTATCTTTCGAAAAATCATTTACAAAAAGTTAGAAGTCAACAGTGAATCAAAAACTCGTTCTCTTTGACGTTAATATTTCAATAAACAACATGTAAACAATAATAATTACGATGGAATATCATGCTTTCATTTCAGTCTATTGATGAATCTATGTTATTGTACAACTATTTAGTAGCAAGATCATTACTTGTAATCTATAGTTTATAGATGACTATTATTCTGCCATAAAAATACAATAGATCAGATGAATACATGTTTTTGGGAACTTAACATATTATCAGAAGGGGTTTGTGGAGATTTTAGAAATTTCACAGATTGAAATCGTGAGTCAATTGAAGCGAGACCACCATGGAAAACCTGGACGCACTGGACGGCCGTTTCGTCTCATGATTTCATTCTGTGAAGTTTCTAAAATCTCCACAAACCCCTTCTGATAATAATCATCTGCTCACTAGTGACTGACTTCAAGAGATACTCCTGGAGTTCTAGTGAGAAGTCGTTACCACTGTAGTTCAACCAAGTCTGTTGTGAGATATCAGCTCACTGAAGACAATGGTGTACGGTGGTGCAACTTTGTGGATTGGTTGAAGTTAGGCGTTAACACCATTGGATGCCGGCTCAGTGGTCTAGTTAGTTAAGCGCCTGGCGTGAGACTGATAGGTCCTGGGTTCGAATAGCTCGGAGTGCGGGATCGTGGATGCACACTGCTGAGGAGTCCCATACTAGGACGAAACGGCCTCCAGTGCTTCCAGGTGTTTCCATGGTGGTCTAGCTTCAATCGACTCATGATTTCAATCTGTGGGACTTAATATGTGTTTAAAGTAAAATGTCACTATTCTGAAGATTTTTTTAAGAAAAAGGAAAGTAAAATTTATTTTTTCACAGATTCCATTTCATAATATTACATAATTTTTATTGCAATCTCATATATTAAGCATTGAAATGTATTGTATTTAAAGAACAGTTTGAGTTATTTGCATATTCTACCTTTTTAATTATAATACAGATCAATCGTCAAATAGAAATATCAAATTATGTTAGCAAAATTTCAAAACTTCTGAAAAATTTAAAACCTGAAAAATCAGATACTCTAGATAGTGTAAGTTGAATATCATAATCATTTGTAGTGTAAACATTATACATTCAAAATATTAAATCTTTGATGCTATGTAAGCCAATGCAATTCATAAAGTACTAACCGATCTAATAGAAAAGCTCAGTGGTTGTCTCTTTCCTGTCCTTTCTCATTAAATATCTTATATTAAACAAATCGAACCAAATGTTTGGGTCATTTAGCTTAGTAGCAACGCTCAGAATTTAACTGCTACTATCGTTTAGAAAATATTTCATTTGCTGCTATTTTGTGATCGAATTATGTTATCATATAAATCCGATCATTATGGTGAATCAATGTTGTGAATACAAATCGTTTTTTAAGTTACATGTTACTTGTGATTAGGATTCATCCGTTGTTACTTTTTGAACGAATACTCACGGAATGAAGTAGTTAAAGTTGATCGCTGTTAATTTTATTGTTCAGGACCACATAACAGTAACAGCAAATGGTAGGTTAGATTAAAACACTAATGGAGTGGACTTGAAGCATTGGTCTAATAATTAATTGGTTGTCATTTTGTTGAAAAGTTATTTTCTGTGTTGAATCTGTAAAAATCTCCAAATAAAAGTCGAAAGCCAAGATCATATAAGGTCACAGATAAACGTAAAATTGGTTTCCAGATGAGAGGTTAAAATTTATTGCTGTTGTGACTAACTTGGTCAAATATAAAGTGATACTGTCGTGTACCAGGTTAAGTTTTTTGGGGTTAGATCTCGGTGGTTCCTACAATGTAGAAGAACAGTAATCCTTTATTTTTCAGTAAATTATGTGAGGTCTGATGTGAAACAGACGATACGTTGTGAATTCTGATTTGATGCTTATTATCCTTTTAGTGAGAAAGGACGGTTCTATGTTTTAGTTCAAGTAACTTCTTTTCTTAAACATTTAATCGTTTGCTGACAAGAAAGTAGTTGTAGCCATAAAATATGTTTTAGGGTTTAATGCATTTAGATCAGATTTCATTGATCGAATAAAACGCCTACATACTTAGAAATGGTGAATAAGATTATAATATTATCCTGGGTATTTCGTTTACTTATGAAAAATACGTCTCAAGTGATCTCATCATTCCTTCTTCTGATTTATGAATGTACTATTAACTGATTTTGAATAATCTTGTTCACTTTCCTTAGACAAACGAATAATAAATAACCAATATTTATTTACAAATACATATTAGCTGCATTTTTCTATCATATAGCACTAATTCTGAATGGTAAAATGTTTGTATATTTATGTTGCTGATCATGAGAACGTCAAATATCCTGTCTCTGTTGACATATGTGCATCCTGAACGGATTGCCTCGATATCCTTGTCAAGTTATTAGATTTTAGTAAAGTTGAATGGCTACTAACAGTGGAATACATGATGTGAACTTCGTACCGTTTGGTACTTGCCAAACGAATACACTTGAATTCCAGAGTTAGTTTTCACATTGAGACTCAGATGCAGTGCTTTTCACTTAGAACCTCTAACACGTTATCCAATTAGGTCTTGAGTCTTTGTAAGTACCAAATTGTGTACTGGGTATATTTTTAATTTTTAGACAAATCTACATAGTATGAAGAGTTTACAGAGATTATTGAGTTTGAAATCACGAAATAATCTTGACTATCACTGATAATCTGAAAGCACTGGATGGACGTTTCGCCCATGTACGACTCCTCAGCAATCTGCATCCACGAAACCGCACTCGGGAATCAAAACCAGAATATTCGGTCTCAAACACGAACACTTAACCTCTAGTCCACTGAGCCGGCATTCAACGGTGTTGGCCTCAATATGTTACTCTTGGAGTTCTGATGAGAAATCATGACCAATGAAGTTCGATCATTGTTAGGTGTGAGACAGTTATTCATCTCAGGCAATGGATAAAAAATCATCCGAGATCATAGGTTGATTGAAATTATAGATTGATATCGTTGGATGCCAACTGAGTAGTTTAGAGGTTAAGTGTTCACTAGAACGATCGAATATTCTGTATCCAATTCCCGCTTGCGGAGTTGTAAATCCATAGTACTGAGGAGTTTCACATGAAGACAGGTCTTTAAAATTGATTTAGTTAATATCAATTCGTGATTTCAGCGATAAAAATCTACAAAGACTTGAAACCATAACAAATAAACATCATTGCAGGTACTGATAAGTTTTCAAAAAACGACAGATCATCTATAAAAGTTTCTTAAAAGTGAATTTAAACTTCAATTCATAACGCTTCCTTTTGTTTTTCTTTGTTTTTTTTACATGAGCATGATAAGAATTGCTTTTCTTTACAAAATAAATTATGCAAATTAACATTCTGGCATATTTGAGTAAATAGGAATTATCATAAATTATTTTTCATTCCATAAAGAAAACAACAAGCTATTGTTCTTATTTATATCTGTATGAACATTCTGCATAAATAACATAAATGTTTCATGTTTAAGCATGATCAAATTACTATAATGTATAATTGTATAATGGTAAAATTTTTTTCAAGTCCTTTACTCTATAGAAACTAAAGCTGATAATTTAATTTATAATAACAATGACATATTTATTTCATGAATAATAAATCTTAAAAGGGATCAGTGAATTTTTAATTTGCCATAGGAATGAAGTTAAAGATATATAATACTGAATACAAAATTAGTGATTTAATAATTGAGCATTCACCTATGTATTAATTCACTGGGTTCAATTCTTAATGATGACACCACTATTAAGTTTTGAAAAGAGTTGCACACATGTATAAATCAACTATCCCAGTGCTTCCCATTTTTCGATAGTATCTCAAGTGAATTCATCATTTGGGATGAATATTATCTTTAGATTTTCGAATCATTTCTTTATGTGAAAGACAGTATATAGAAATTAAAATTGTTGAATATAGAAATTTGTTTGTAAGGAACCAACAACCAAATGTTATGCAATTTTTCTTAATGATATCTAAAACGATATTAAGCAGATTTCTTTAATGTCAAGATTATTGAAAAACAATCTGGCTACGTATTGATGAAATCCAACTGAATGATAATTTCAGAAGAGGATTTTGTGAATATTATAATAATTTCATTAGTTGAAATCATGGGCCAATTGAAACTAGACCACCATGGAAAACCTAAAAGCATTGGATGGCCGCTTCGTCATACTGTGGAACTGCTCAGCAGTGCACATCCACGATCCACCTCGCGAGATTCAAACCCAGGACTTATGAGTCTTGTACATGAGTGCGAGCGCTTATTCAATAATTTTAATTTACTAATTCATTTTACTAACAAAATCTCTAATTTGATGATAAAGGTTAACTAACTGCTACAATAATATTGTAATACCCAATACAAAGATTTTAGAATTAAAACAAAATTTATGATGCGGGTTTCTGTGTAATTCACAATTTAACAACATGAATTCAGTCATCATATTTTTAAAGAATCAAACAAAGAAATGTAGAATTTAAGCTGTTAACTGTCAACTAGCTTGATTTGTTAGAACACTAACATATTAAAATCAATAACAAAGTATCTGAGAAAATTTATTTGGGTTTCAATTACATTTCTTTTGTATTAATGTTTGGTGCATTGACCTATATCATATGATCAAAACTATTTCTTTAATCCTGCGAATAAAACTGATTAATGTTTCGTAATAGTAATTATCTTCATTAAGCATTGTATGCAATATGTTTGTTAAGTTTAATGAGAGAATGGCCACGTATTAAATTTTTCATAAATTCTAACAATAATAATAATTTGTTTGGAAGTAAAAACTTTATTACTCGAAATGTCACATACAATCCGGATTTAACTAGAATTGAATCAATTTAACATATCCGTTCATACACATAGATATGGTCTGTCAGCTACAACGTAAGACCAGGCACATATATGCGTCAGTCCAAGTTGCCTCACGTCATTATCACGACAAGGTGAACACTGAATTCATAGAAGTAGTTACTTTAAAGGTAGTAATGCATAAAAGAAGGATTTCATATAAGGATGAAGTACAGGAGAAAAGAATTAGTTCGTAGAAAGAAAGGTATAAAGCAATTTTAATCTCACCATTTAATGGCACATCAAGAGTGTATACACCTACGTCATTGTGGTCGATTCCGAGCCATGTCACCCAGTCTCCAACCATTAGTTACGATAGTTGCGCGGATTTCAACCAAGTAGTCTGTATCTACCAACATGACTCAGATCAGAAGTTAGTGACTTCAAGCACTGATGCCACGTTTTGGTTTGGCCTCCTCTAACTTTCTTCCATCCGTCTCCAACACAAGTCAGCATTGCACACTGTTGTAATCAGTGATTGGGCATGAGAAATACATGACTCAACCATATCAGCCGATGAAGATTGACAACCTCACCAACTGATATATATATATATATATATATATATATATATATCAGTAGATAGTTCGGATATATACCATTTTTATTTATGAAGTAAAGAATACTTGTCGTTTGGTACTTAGTGAAAGTCTAATAAGAACAGAGAGATAATTTAAAATTAATTTTTACTACGAACTTAAATCATGTGAAGACTAAACATAAACAAAGAAGCGCCAGTCATATATTTTTTCATAGAGTATGATTATTCAGTAAAGGGAAATTCATAATTACATAGGGAATCAAGACCAAATCTTATAGGTTTTATTAAGACAATTATCTCTTTACGTCGTTGCGATTCAATCCGATGGTTTACATTTCCATATTATATCACTGTCTTCTGGTAATGTCATTATCACTCCTATTATCTTACACCCAATATTATTGCTTCAACATGCAACAGACTCACACTTGAAGATTATAAAAAAATATCTAGTTATTCAGTAGTAAGCTTATCATTAGATGAGTAACATTAAAGTAGGTTTGAACTAAAGGTAAAGATTTTAATTATTGATTGCTGTGAATATCGCTCAATAGTGCCACATTTATTATAAGGTCATGAATACCTCAGTTTGAGATGGTGGAGACTTCCACTTAAAGTTTGTACTGAGGATGAACAGTGAAAGCTCTACAATCAAACCATCCAGATCAGATTTATCGAAATTTCCTTAGTTTGTTACGCTTTCAAATGAAAATTATCTTACCAACACACACATTTTTGCTGAAGACTCAACTCAGTGAATCTGAATACTAGCTAATATTCAAACATTATTTTCTATTAGTTGAATTATAGTGAACAAGAACACCAATGGGGGACAACCAAATGTATTTAAATACAAACTTACAGAATCTCGTAATAAAATGTAAGAACGACACAGTAAACACTTCATTTGCAAAATGTCAACAAATTGTCTCAGACTTGATCATCCTTTCATTTCTAAACCAATTACTCCCTGTTTTCGTTCTCTTTTCCTCGATCTTCTTAAACTTGTACACACCTCCGGGACATTACACTTTTGATTGATGATACATACTACTTATATCTGTCAATATCAGTAGCATACATCACATAAGATTAATCTTATGAAAAGTCATTAATTTTATCAATGCCTACATCTTAACATTAAATGATTTTATTTTTATTGAAAAAATAATAATAGTTTCAGTAAATTTTTGACAAATTTAAAAATTAAATTTTTGATTGAGATCATGAACCGATTGATGTTAAACCACCATTAAAAAACCTGGAATCACTGGACGGCCGTTTCATCCTATTGTGGGACTCCACGGCAGTGCGCATCCACGATCACGCTTGTGGGATTCGAACCCAAGGCCTTTAGTCTCGCGTTCAAGACTGGTTTCCAATGGTGGTCTAACGTCAATAGGTTCATGATCTCAATCAAAAACTTAACAATCTGAACAACCACTAAAACTGATAATTACCATGTGTTCACTAGTGACTAGCGTTGTGAGAAAATTCTCGGAGTTCTAGTGAGAACCCGTGACCAGTGGAGCTAATCCGTGTCCATTAGAGTCAGGTATCTCCCTCAGTACAATGGAAGATGGTCGCGCAATTTCGTGGATTGGTTGATGTTAGACATTAACACCATTGGATGCTGGCTCAGTGGTCAGTAGTTTAAGTGTTCACGCGCGAGACTGAATGCCTTGTGTTCGAATCCCGCAAGCGGGATCGTGGATGCGCACTACTGTGGGGTCCCACACTAGGATGAAACGGCCGTCCAGTGCTTTCAGGTTTTCAATAGTGATCTATCATCAATCGGTTCATGATCTCAATCAAAAACTTAATAATCTCCACAACCCATATACTGGTAAATACAATTGAGTCATTAATTAAATGAAATGAACATCGATATATTGTTGGAATGAGTTAATGAAACTACTTATTATTATTATTATTATTAGCTTTATTCAATATTATAATTTTGGTACAATATAGAATTCTCAGCGCAAAGTATTTCAACAAGTTTCCGTTTCTGTCTTCTTGGTCGGTCCTGGCGATAAATATTGAGGAATCGCCAGTTAGATGTTAGCACTTCAGTGAATGAACAACTGAATAATGTACATTCTTTTCGTTGTACATTACCAGCAACCATATTGTCTCTTATTGAGTTTTCTGTAACTTTGACAACGAAAGGTTGTACACTTTTCAGAAACGCAGCAGAATAGGTTATGCGATTATTAGACATAATGATATATTAAAACAAACAACAATAGATAACTTGTTGAAATATCTAGATGGCTGGAACAGGTAGCCCAGATGCTCAAGCAGGCCGCCCTGATGATAAAAAATGTTTTGTAAATGAAATTATACGGTATAAATGATAAGAACAGAGAGAAAGAACACATCAAAAGATCTTTAAAAAATGAAATGACCTATTAACAAATAGAATAAACTCATTCAACGAAGAAGAAAAAATAGACAATCAAAAGGAGAACAACAAAGTTTTATTATTTTGATGGAATCAAAAACTGAAAATCTATAGAGTATAAACTGAAAAGAATTGAGTTCTTGTTAGATGATTGGAGAAATGGTGGAGAAGATTTGTAGCTCATGTAATTTGGTTTTGGTTGTATCTCCCACTGAAACAAAAATCAAATCAATGGGAGATACAACCAAAACAAAGAAGTAAACAATGACAAGTTTAAGGTCAACAAGAACCAATCAACATCGAGGCCTATAGGACAAGCTGTGAAACACATATGGAGAAATTCGAACGCTTCACTTATATCTGAAGTTTGTGCTGATGATGTCGTTCAGAAGAATGATGAAAGCTCCACGACCAAACCATCCAGAACAAAACTCCATCAAAATGTTTGGAGAAAGACTGTATTGAACTTTGAAACAAATTTTCTTGTTAGTTGGTACTTATCAACAAAGTATGTTCTATAATCTTAAGTTAGCTAGTTCTATTTATAGGATCCAAACATGTGTAACCCAATTTCATAGCGTTTACAAATGAAATCATTTTTGGACGAAGTGTTTATTCGTTTGCTTTTTCTTCAATGGTATGGATTTTAATTGAAAACATAACCTGGTTATCGTTCCACTGATTGACTTAATTAGTAGATTCAAATTAAGTTCTCAAGCCTCAAATTGAAACTTTATATAGAAGTTACGCATGTAAATTAAATCAATATTATAAATTAATCGTCATTATAATGAAATGATCCAGTATGTATTCTGAGTGCTTTATTTAATTGCTAATTTAAAATGAATCACTAGCGGTTAAATCAATAATAATAGTGTTATTTGGTTAACTAATCATCTCTACTTGTTATGATTATCACTAATAGGTGTTTACTGTTTTAACTTGAGTATAATGTGAAAAACTGATTGTTTCATTTAATATTGATCTTTGAAAATTTCAGAAATCACTGAATTCATGTAAGTTGCTGAAGTATTCTTTATTTTCGTCTTATCTCCTTGTAGAATGTATCTCATTTTGTTTTTAATTACTACTTCATCGCAATAATCCTCAAGATGATAAAATTGTTTGAAGTTAAATAATGTGAAGTATTGAGTGGGAATTTGATAGTTGAAAGATTAAGTACTCCATGTGAGACCTGAGTTCAATACTCAATGAGATCGTGGATCCCTGATGCTATTAAGTTTTATACAGATGTTTATTACTTACTGGTCTTTAGTTGCTATTTAACTAGGATCAGTTTATGATACAAACTGTGCAATAGTAAAATTTGTCCAATTAATTTTCAGTTATGTAAATCTATTAATTTATACAAAGTATACAGTTAATTTGGTGATTGTTTCTAACAGTAGATACAACCTATTTCTCTTACTGAAGAGTTGTATGAGGAAAAGAAACTTTCAATAATTATCTAGTTCATTTCTAATAATCTTTCGTAGGTTTATTGTTGGTAAATGTTTGTTCTTCATAGTTAAGGTTGACTAGGGCATCATATTCGAAACATTTTACTCCGTTATAATATTTTTAAAATTATATAATTACATGTCAGTATGAGAAATGAAGTTTAATAGGTTACATCAGGTTTAACAAATAAATAAATACGTACTGTTGTTAAACAAATATTCTACAAAAGCTACCGTAATAGATATTACGGTTGCGATTGTGTTTAAATAAATTAATTCCTCTTTATGGAGTTACTTAAATCTACTTTCGTTAATATATATGGTTATTTAGAGATAGTAATCTGTTATGCGCTAGTTTACATTCATCACCATGGTTTGTCGTTACTATTGATTAAACTGATGCTCCCAATATATATTGGGGTAATGTTATCACATCATAAACAGAGACTTTATCACTAAGTTAAGGATGTGGCAACTGATAGTATGTTAATATTTTCTATTTCATGAGCACCTTACACGAAGAAGGATGTATTAGAACATTGATTGACAATGGTAATTGTGTTGAAACATGGCTGACAGAGTTCGAAAACGTTTGAGTGAATACTCATTGAATTTATTTGTTAAGTTAAAAAAAGGTTTACCTTAACTAAAAAGTTTTCAATACCGACTCACTGAAGGTACAGGTGATGAAAAACTTAACTCAAATGAGAATTTTTAGGTTATAGGAATGAAATTGAAAAAATTAGGTATTAGTTTTATTTCATCAAATATATGTCACGCGTAAGTGTTCTGTGGAAACAAAGCCATAAATGAAGTTTTATTGATATCTTTTTTTCAATTCTCATCTTTTTTCTTCAAGTTAGACTTCAGGAGCCAACGACTTGGATTACACAGACTGTTGAAAACATAAAAGTATGTTACAAGTTACATTGATTTGAGTTAATAAATAGTTCAGTACAGATATGACTTAGATAAATAGATGTAATATCAAGGATATTAATTTTATTCTAATAACATGGTCAAATTTGTTAACATAATTTTAGTGTTACAATCAAAACAAATCGATAACTAAACTTCAGTCAGTTGGTTCCTTCTATGACTTTCAATAGTGTAACCAAAAGATGAAGTTGAACTTAGAAGTGTGATGTGTTTGTGCCACAATATATATCACGAATACATCACTTTATTCAAGATTACCGTCTTCATTACTTTACCAAATTATTATTTATAAGATCAGTATGATATAGAAATAGTCAAAATGCCTTTCCCTTTAACTCTGAAAGTCTAGGCTTCTTCGAAACAAATAAATAAACGGGATTAAGACGAAGAAACACTATCTTTATTTTCTGTGGTTATTAGAGGATGAATATAAAGAACTCACCAGTTTCAGTAGAACTATCCAATATATAATGCCTATTCGCCGAGTACTGGTTAAATGCACAAGGAGTTCTAAAAATTGTAAAATGAATTTTTTCTGGATTTCCTAATTAAATAAATTCAGTTATAGTTTTTCAATAGTCAAAACAACTTACAGTCGCATCCATAGTTGTCGGAGTCAATAACGTCTTAGAATAACTAATAAAATCGACGCAATCTAAAAAGAGAAATACAGTTTTTTTATTACAGTTCTTATGAAGCCTAATTTTATCGTGTCTGCAATTGACAAAACCCATTCGCGTTATTAGTCATAATTCATATCTGTATATGTGATTTAAAAATTTAGGAAGACTCTCTAATATGCAAGGCTAAACTACTGTTTCTCAGATTTTAAAGTAGATTTGTCCAGGGATTACATAGCTATAGTTGATGATTTTTTAAGTTACAGTTTATAAACGTCACCATATAAGATATCATTGGATGTTTTGTTATCTATTCCAAGTTATATAGAAGATACTCCTTAAATTAATATATATTATCCCAAAGAAACCTTTTTTGTCTTAATCAAATTTGAATTATTGTTTCTGAAATCCACTTTTCACACAATCCATCTCTAAAATGATGAGAAATGCTCGATTCGCTTTTTTAACTTTAAATATTACCAATTTTATTAGGCTTGAAAAATTTTGTGTCATATTAAATCTATGGTAAACAGTTTGTACTGGCTCAGATTTGAGATAATTAATTATGTTTTGTTTATTAATCACCGTGATAACCATTATTAAATAAATCAGTGTTGTATGAATCTAGAAGGCAGTAAGAAGCTGCGAGTACAGCTTATTTGTTAGACAGCACAGATAACCAAGTTACAACTATATAGAGCGAATTGGAGCAAGAAGCTAATGTTAGTGAACGAGCGAACACGGAGGCTAATTTATGGTCAAATCGAATCAACCAGAAGAGAAGCAAGGCAAGACGATTAATAAGATTCGAGTGTATATATACATGAGGAAGAGAGTGGTTCATCGAGCGATATTTAAGCGAGTAACATTCAAGGTAAAGTGAGAATTATGTGTTCAGGCTGTCTCATGTGATCACGCATAAACGTTTATACAGACGTGATAGTAATCATAAATAAATAAATTGAAAAATTGTTACCGTTGCAATGCCACTCACTATTAAATAAGTTGATAGGAGAGCACGACAATCTTAACCGAAATCAACATTAGTAATAGATCAATTGTTATAAGTTTTATTATAGCTCAAAAACCACTGATAAACTGAATATTAATTGATATCCATCATGAATTCCTGGAGTAAATTCTAAAATATTTTATAAAAAAATATTTAGTCACAGATAGATGATGGCTAGCAATGAGATTCAGGAAGTCCCTTTCGTCCTATTTGAACTCGTCAGCTGGATGTACCTTTACTTCAGAGTTAATGTAAACTACGGAACTCGAATCCAGTGCCTTTAACCTAAAATTCACGTCATTTCACAAGCTGATGTTTATCTAGACTCAGTAGTTCAGTAGATAACCTGATGGGATTTGAAGCGAACGGTGTAGAGTTTGTTTCCCGAAATAAACATCAACTCTGGGATGCAGGTACATCCAACTGACGAGTACAAGATAGAATGAAACACGTATCTTGGATTCTGTCGTTTAGCGTCATCTGTCTCTGCCTTAAATTCCTCATGTTCAATGGGAATACTGAGGCAATATACAGAGGATATATATGACTGATCGATTGCAGTCCTAAACATTAACTGGAAGACTAAGTTCACCAATACATATGAATTATAACTAGGAACTATTGCCGTTTCACAATGCAGGAATTGTTCAGAAGCTTCAATAAGCCTGTTTATTTATCAGAATCTATTAGATTTATAAGAAAAAGAATCATTTAATTAAATATATATATATTACTATTTTATTTAGACTTTAGTTCTGCTACTTGGTACAGATTCACCTCATTATCCTGAACTTCAAAGAATTTATAAAAGATTACTGGAGGAATCACTGAATTCAAATAATAGTATAGAAGATAAGACGATAAATGTAGGTGAACAATATTTATTTGAAGAGTATTTTTTATCATATGACAGAATTAAATTTTCAATTCATTTCCATACTTTAATGGAGTTTCAGGGAAATTGAGTATATATATATATATATATATATATATATATATATATATATATATATATATATATATATATATATATATATATATATATATATAAATCACTCGTTTTCTTACATTCCAAAACCAACCCTTATAGATTCATAAGAAAGACTTCCCTATGCCTATCTGGTAAAAAGATGCTTTAACAAATTAAGTAATATGACAAAGGTTAACTTAAAATCCATGAAGATAAGAAAATGAAAACAGTCAGAACTGAACTTGTTAAATGCGTCATAAATAAATAATGAATAACAAAAAAAAGGAAGATTGATCACAATTCTTTTCAGTTACGTAAAGACAGCTAAAGGTCAACCACCAAGTTCTGTTGAATACAAGGGTTATTTTTTGACCTTCTAATTCCTATAGCCCCCATCCTGACTGATTTTTACGGATAAGCTCTAAAATCTACACCTTAATCTTCATATTTAATGATAGGATGAAACTATTTGCTTAAAAATTTTGATCTATTCTTAATAATTTGCTGGTTTTTATAAGCTATTATTGTATCATGAAGTTAGGACGGACTATAGGAATAGACTTTATTATAAGCTGAAAATGTCGGAAGACTGATAGTTTTTAGGTTATCTAAACAACAAATACTAAAACCAGTTTTCATAATGTAGTGACAGAGTACTGTTTTCTTAAAGGTCATTAATAGATAAAGTTTGTCAACTGGAAAACACAAAACAGAGATTAATTTATTATACAGTCATAGGTTTCAATTCCCATAATGTCGTTTCCTTATAGCTTATATTATGAACATGATAAAGTTAAATTCTAGGAAGTATAAAATTATTTGATGATTAAAAATTGTACGAGAAAACATTTTTTCAAACAGGGAGAAGATGTTAATTCTCTGCATGATCAAATATATCAACACCTGACATTCCTAAATAAGTTATCTCATTAGTTAGAGCAGTAAATGATAAGGTATGAAGTCAAAAACGTAGTGTAATGTACATTTTAACACAACTGTAAATTACTACAACCAGTATTATACGTCAACTTGTAATCAAAACTTTATATTTTACTAAACAGATAGTATTAAATAAAGCAATTATTATTACTATTTAAAACGATATGTTCATTCCTAATTTAAATCTTCTAGTAAAAATAACACATTTAACCATTAGTATAATTTAACAGTTCCTTTACTACCAAATAGGTTCACTTCAGTATTTTCACTAACTCTGTAAAACACTTTTCTAAATGGACTCCGGTAATCACAATTAATTTAGCAGTACATGGATCCATAATTACTTCCTAATATATATTAAGCATCTCTGAATTATGATAGCCAGTTGTTATGGTAATAGACTAATTTTGAATTTTCCAATTATTCAACTATAACATCATAATCTAATAAAGTTTAAGTACTAATAAGAACTAAGCTCCAGAACAAAAGAATATTTTTAATGGGTTCATTTAAATACTGGATAGTGAAGTTTAATGAGAAAACGTTTAATAGTATATATATATATATATATATATATATATATATATATATATAGAGAGAGAGAGAGAGAGAGAGAGAGAGAGAGAGAAAGAGAGAATTACAATAGTGTTTATTTTATTTGACATACACCATTTTTATTTGAATACATAAATATTATATTTTAAAGAAACATAACAGTATAGGTGCACCCAGCTGACGAGTCCCAAATAGGACGAAACGTGAATCCTGGATTCCACTGTTAGTCACTATCCATCTTTACTTATGAAGTTTGTGACTTAAACCTATATCGAGGCAATCAGCACAGGATGCATATATACCAACAAGAGACTGATGAATTACAGCCCTAAGTAGCAATGGGAAGATACAACACTAAAACAATACTAAGTGAATTTAACTTAATAGATAGTTTTTGTTTGTTTCATTATATACTAGTTATTCTTGTTATAAAGAGGTTGTTGACTGCTATTTGATACAATTCGATGTGAAATATTTTGATTGTATACAGAGATTTATTTGCGAATCTGCATTATGCAGATATACGTTATATAAAGTTTTGTATTAAAATAATAAAACATTCAATTTGACTCTAATTGAACTTCGGTCAATTCTATACAATTAGTTTAATTAATTTCATTTTTCCCCTACAAATTATACTTTATTAATTGTTTTATTCACACTTTTCTACTTGATTTCTTTTCTCAAATGAGAGGATTCCAATCGTTTGATTATGCATAGTTTAGTGGTTGAACTTACTTCTAAAACAAATAGTCGTAAATTGCGTTACCTATTCCTGTTTAAAGATGTACTTATCTGCGCAAAAATAAAGTTCGCAATGGGTTCAAGGTAAGAGTTTTTTTTAAATGGAACTTAGTTAATTACACTATTTATATCAACATTAAAACTATTATCTAAGGATTATTGTACTATTACATTTAGGTATACTAATTTACTGGAGTATGGTCACATTCAGCCAAAATATCAAACTCTATTATAATTAAGAGGGAACAAAATTTTATTTATAATTTTTCCTTACTTAGTATTTTGAGTTATAATTTTGTTGGTATTTTGAAAATCAAATAAAAAATGAGCTAAAAACCAATAACATGTAAAACAAATGAACTACTAAGAACTTGAAAACCAATATCATCACTGTTAGTTTTCTTATAGACATCTCTATGATTGTGAATGATACTTTGAATAAGAAATATTGAGTTTATGATATTGTTTATTACCATAAACATTTACTCAGAGTAAATGTATTACAACAATGACAAATCAAATGAAGTTTTGAATAACAACACGATAATACAAATGATATCATAAACGTTCATCAACTTAGTAGCTACCTAAACTCTGAAGACTAACAGATAATGCGTTAATTTTAAAAACATTAGTTATTACACACAAAGGTTCATTGTAACTATATAAATTGTAGTTCACCTATCTATTTTCAACAAAAACAATAGCATCAAAAGACTTTCTTTGTCACTAAGTAAGAAATAAAGTTCGTTCTCTTTTTTTTATATTTCAGTTAAAGAAAGAAATTAACTAAGCACATTTTCTTTAAAGATAAAAGATAGAAGAGTTGCGATTGTCCATATATATATATATATATATATATATATATATATATATATATATATATATATATAGAGAGAGAGAGAGAGAGAGAGAGGTTGGAAGGAAGGGAGGGAGAGGGAGAGGGAATAAACAAAGGAAATTAAGATAATGAAAAACTTGATTGAATTGTTTGATTTAGAATAAATGTTTCTTGAAAGAGTTAGATAAGTAAAATTTTTAGAAAATTCTCCTTGATTATTTTACTGTTGAATTTTTTTTCAAGCCTTTCTAAGATATTCCTTTATTCCTTAAAACTTTAATTTAGTTTACACATAACTATTTAATCTTTTCAGTCCAACTCTGGTTCATTAATAGTTGAAATATTCTGCCCATTTCAGCTAAATTTACATATAAATGTTTCCTAGATTATTAAGTACAACAGATACATTAAATATTTGATTTATAAATGTTAGGCAACATCTATTTCCTCTCTGATGAAGATAAGAAATCAATTGATGAGGTGGCAAATCTTCAACGGAAGTGTTTGAGACATGTATTACGTATGCTCAACCACCGCTAACCTCGATGGGGCGATGTGTTTTGGTGTAGGAGTAATATGGAAGGAAGCTAGGGGCGGCCAAACTAAAACATGACATCAATCTATGAAATCACTGACAATTGAATTTAACTGATGTTAATAAGTACTACCAGGCCGAGGGTTACATGATTATCGTAATCAATGGTTGAAGACTTTGAATGACTTAAGTCTAGTGATTCCTTTTCAGACTAATATATGAAGTATTTAATTCACTCAGGTAATTTCATTGTTGAATCTTTGTTCAAATGGGGTGGTATGTAAAACATTTAGTGTTACATACTCTTTTGTGGTGTTGAAAATTTAACCATTGAAACACTGGGAATTAAGTTTTTTATAGCAACTAAGCTATTGTTTAAATATTGATGTAAAATTGCCAGTAATTGTGAGCAGAATGGAAGTAGGAAACAAGTATGAAGTGATTAATTTCGTTTAATGATTACCCATCGAATAATGTACTTCCTGATTTAAATGAATCGTTTAGTAGAATGAATGAAACATGTCTCAAAACTTTATGATAACATTGTGGTATGTACTACTTATATTGACATAAGTAGTATATGATGTTGGTCGTGAACAGGTCTGGCAGCAGAGAGATAAGAGGATCGAACAGTAAAGGATGGAAACAGGATGCAGTTTGTATGAAAATGCAAGAACAATGAAGTCTGAGTCATTTTGGAACAATTGGTGGACATTTTACAAATTAAGCATTTACTTCATGATTGTTAGATTTTATTAACAAGTCCTGTAATTTTGTATCAAATACATTCGATTGTCCTCACTGGTGTTCTTGTTCACTACAATGTTAGTAACCCAGCGTTATGTAAGAAAGTGTAATCGTGTAAATTTTGTAGAAAGAAACACAAAATCACATGTTAATGTTGAGATCTTTGGAATTCATGGCTTTTCAGAAACATGCTAAATTACATCACACTGTACAGATTTCTGTCTAGATATTTAATGTTGTCCATCGTATAAATATAACAATGGTGTACATGACTTAGAACTAGTAAATCAGTATATCTTAAACCAAGCAAACTCATTTCATAAGCTATGAATTAATAGAACTACACTGTACAGTTACAGCGTCGGAGGTGACCCTGACAAACGAATGCAACTTCAAGGAAGGTTAAAAGATAGGTAGACCTGACAACCTACAGAATTGAAGACTTAAACGTCCTACTGTATCGTTAATTACAGTTAGTGGCAGTTTATACTGTATTAGAATATGAGTCATTCCAACTGCTTTCAGTCTTCATATTCACACATTTTTGTCAAAAAGAACAGATTACACAGGAATTGTGTATTACCAGAATTCTTAACACAATGATGACATTTATTATATTAAAGAGTCAGCACAAAGACATCAATGTTCAAACACTTTGACCTGTTAAGTGATTTAATAATAAAATGTATTTTATTCATCCGTAGTAAGTATAGCTTAACTGCTGTTAAATATTCACCATAGTAAAATAATATTCAGTATTAATTTCAGTTTACTTTTATCCTTTTCCTACTCTAAAAAAGACAAAGGATATTACATGAGAATGCTTCACTGAGTGAGTCGCGATTTCGGAGAAAAAGATCTGGAAAATTTTCTGCTCCTAGCTATGAACTCGAAATAAAGTGGTTTATTTCAATGGAAGAAATGAGTTTGTTATCTAATTCAAGAGTTGGGAGTGGTAAGATCCGATAGCATTATAATGAATTATTTTTATCTCATCTTTTCATGTCATTTAATATACGACTATTGATTTCTCATTACAAGAAACAATATGAAATCATATTTCGTGTGTCTTGTTTGTTTGGAACAACACATATGGCATAAGAATATGTTCAAGAATTCAGTAAACTAGATTACAGAAAGTCGGTTGACTTTTGATCCGGAACAAACAATTCGACTTAATAATCGCTAAGTAGTAGGCATTATTATAACGAAAATAATTCAATAATATAGAAGGAATTAGCAGTATAGGGTTGTAGAGATTGTTTAGTTTAGATAGAATTTATGAATGGATCAATGTTAGACCATCATTGCAAACCTGTAATCATTGGACGGCTGTTTCATCCTGAGGAGTCCCGTACTAGGACAAAACGGCCGTGAAATGCTTCCAGATTTTTAATGGTGGTCCAACATTGATCTATTCAAAAAGAAATTACCTTTACTTTGCATTTATTATTACTTAAGTCCTCATAACTGTTCCTCAGTCACTTTTAGCGTCAATAAAAATATTTACTTCAATTAGCATCTGTTTACATTTATATGTTCATTAACATATTCATCAATTTGCCTTCAATTGAAATCGATCTTCATTCAGTGCTGACACTTACCACTACTAATTGATTTCATTAATCTTCAAAATAGGACCCTAAATATGATAGTCAATTTGTACCAATCAACTGGTTCACATATTTTGTAACGAAAACTTTTGTGTGAAATTTTTATTTAAAGCTTACTATTAATACCAATATTGATTGTGTTCCCATGGTATTTTCTTTCATAATTAAAATCAAAAGGTTTTAGTTAGATATAAATATGAACAATTCATTGCTTGACCAAAATGATGAGATTTTTTTAACATGAGTGACAATTTGTGTTGATGTGAGTAACTGCACACATGACATACTCATATGTAGGATGATTTACCAATGTTTAACCTGAAGGTGACGAAATATCTAAGTTTAGTGACGAAACGTCCATGAATAATATTGAAATAAAATTGCACTCCAAGATATTGTTGTGTTTTAGTTGATGTTCAAAATTTCCTCTATTCAAGGAAGATACTAATTTAATAAAATTGTTCATCAAGATATTATAAGAGGTCAATTCTCTGTTTGATTTCGCTCATTACTTTTCTATTAAAAACTTTGTATAAATAATTTTTACTCAAACATTCTTGTGATAAAATAATCTTCTGAAGACAGGTTTCTGATAGTAAATAACGTTGTGAAAAATCAGTAAGCAAAATAATTTTAGTGATAACTTGAAAAGTCACCGTTTTCAATAGTGTCTAAGATATACGTATTTGTTAATGACACCACTTACAGAATTACTGTGTGCTTGTAGTGTAGTTGGTAGATAACTTAAGAGTCTAACTGATAACAAATAATCCGTTTATTCATAAAATCTCATCAAAATTTATGTTTGTGTATACTTCATTTTTAGATGATCGAGGTCGATTACAAAACCAAAAAAATCTAGACGAACTGAAAGGCATGGTTCGTAATTTACGGCAAACAATGAGTCGTAGTCTAGAGGTGAGGTGCTGTACTAATTTTTTTAAGAAATATAAATTGATTATAAGAAAACTAGGAAAAAGTGACATTGAATAGGTCAGTAGAAGTCTAAATACAATTTACTGTGGTACTGTTGAATCCATTAGTTATGTATTGTAACCCATTGTGAAAGCTTCATATTATAACAGATGAATTTGAATTTGCTGAAAGCCATTACTAAGCGTAAAATCAAGGTCCACCATTTATACACAAATTCCTCGGTTATTTAACATGAAATTTAAATATCTCTATATAAAGTACAGGTTTCTTCAGCACCTAAGGTGTACCTGAGAAGATCGTCAACATCCGGAGTTCATACGATGAACTACGCTACAAAGTTTTGTAAAAAGGAGAGCTGACAGATGTATTTCACATGAGAATTGATGCCAGACAAGGCTGCTTACTCTCCTCATTTGTCTTTCGTATGTTTGTCGACTGGACTATGACGATCTCCAAATCTGACGGGAAGCACGGAATAAAATGGACAGCTTGCATGCAATTAGACTATTTGAACTTTGCAGATCACCTAACTCTTTTATTCCATACACATCAACAAATGCAGATGAAGACAAGCAGTGTAGCAGCAGTCTCTGCATCAATAGGTCTCATCATAAAGAAAAGGAAAAATCCAAATCCTCAAATACAACACAGAGAACACCAACCTAATCACACTCGATGGAAAAGCTCTAGAAGAGGTGGAAACTTTCTTTTTCATCGATAAACATAGAGGATCTGAATCAGACTTAAAAGCAATGATTGGCAAAGCAATGGCCACTTTCTCACAGTTGAAGAGCATACGGAACTCAAAATAACTATCGACCTATAGCAAAGTGAGAATCTACAATGAGAGTGTCAAGACAGTTATACTGTGCGTAGCTGAAACTTGGAGAACTACCACAACCATCAACAAACAGGCGAAAGTACTCATAAATAATCGTCTACGTAAAATACTGAATATCCGTTGTTCGGATGCTATCAGCAACAGACTACTGTGACGGAGAATAAACCAGCTTCCATCTGAAGAGGAAATCGGGAGGTTGTGGATAGGATATGCATTGAGGAAATATCCAAATGTTATCACGAAGCAAGCCCGAACTAGGAATCCTAAAGGTAAAAGGGAAAGAGAAAGACAAAGGAACACACCGCCTCGGCGATTGGAAGCAGACATCAAAAAGATGAATAACAATTGAAATGTATTACCCAGGATATAGTTATATGTAGAATGATCGTGGGCGGCCTGTGCTCCTTCACGAGGGATAATAGGTGTAAGTAAGTAAGTAGGGTGTAAGTATGTACAGGAATCTAAATGACTTTAGGTTTGACCAGAAAAATACACAGACAATACGCTCACAGATTTCCGAGCTACATACTTAGTCAGATCATTTATTTACAACAAGATTAGCTAATAGTAGGCATGAAATAAACAAATTATAGTTTGTACGTTTTAACTTTAAATGATGAGAAAAATAAAGTGGTGAACATAGAAAACTGAAATATTCGAATGTCAATCTACCTTTAAGTGTAAAAGAAAGACAAAGGAATATACGGCAAATTTATCCAGCTACGAGTCATTTTAAAAATTTGGAATCAATTTCGGTCATTAAATGTATTATAAAGTGTTTGCGATAATTCAGTTTGAATGATAATCTCTTGGGTGCACTGATATTCTCTTGTATTAGCTGAGACATGTCAATTGAATTAACAATATTTTTCATCAATGGTATTCTGATAGATCTTGCGATTTCAGATTGATCATAACCTGTCTCAGTTTTACGTAGTAGGTGAGATATACACAATTTCTGGGCTACTTTGAGTAAGCAAATTATTCACCTAACCAAAGTCACCACTCACATAAATAGTTTAAGTTGTGTATATTATGGTTCGGCCTCTTACGATGAGCTTTTACTTACTTTTAGTCTTCTTATTCTGTATAGTAAGTTTGAAAATAGTGTATTTGTAATTGGATCAAGCCAAAGACAACAAACCTAGTTTCTGAAATTGTAGTAAACAGTAAAATAGTCATCAGTTTGATATACCATTATCAGCTTTTTACTACGTTATTCGTCAAAATAGACTCTCCAACTTTAATTAGCACAGATAAGTGTTTAGTGTTATTGAATTTAAACAAGAATGAAATAGAAAATTTTTACCGTGTAATTGTTCATTTTAAAGAACAAGTTGAGAATCTAATACAAACACGATAATTCTCTTGTCATTCTGTAACATTAATAACTTTCAAATCATATTAAACCTTAGACAAAATAATAATAAATAATAACGTTTTAGTTAGGATCAGTACATTAGAAACATCTTTATTAACAATAAAAAATAAGTTTTAAGGAGATTTCAGTAGTTGAGACCATGAGCCAGTTGAAGCTAAACCACCACGGAAAACCTGGAAACACTGGATGGCCGTTTCGTCCTAGTGTGGGACTCCTCAGAAATGGGAATCCACAATCCCAGAACCTAAAAGTCTCGCGCGCGAGCGCTTAACGACTAGACCACTGAGCCGGCCGGTATCCAAAGGTGTTAATGTCTAACTTCAGCTAATCCACAAAATTGAGCTGTACATCCACCATTGTCTTCAGTTAGTTACTATTTCACAACAGATCCTGTTGAACTACATTGCTCACTGCTTCTCACTAGAATGCCAGGATATACACCGTGAAGCCAATCACTAGTGAGTATATGTTGACTAATATCATAAGGGGTTTTGTGGTGATTGTAGTAATTTCATTAGTTGAGATCATGAGTTATTTCACAAGTTATTTCAATGAAACTAATTATTATATCCTAATAATTATCTACCTTTATTTGTTGATAGGATAAACATTCATCCAAGAATACGTCTAAATTAACCAGTCTAAGTAAATTAGTAAGTGTTGTTTTTCTTATCATAAGTTTATTTACTCTGTAGTTTTTTTCATTTCTAACCAGTAATATTAGTATTTTGTGCAAGCATAATATGGAATAAGGAATATCTTTAACATCATATAGATCAATCTACGAACATGGATAACATAACTAATATATTATGTAATCAGTGTTTCTGTTGAACAAACTGTCTATTAAATTAATCATTGTGTTTTTGGAAAGTTGATTGATAAATGTTTTCTTTATTAAAAGTTTAGTTAAACTAGAACTATTAACTTCTATTAATTTATTAGCAAATATTATTTTCATAGACGTTCAATAACTTGTTTAATTATTTTTGCTCGGAATAGATGAGCTAGTAACGTTTAACATGGATCAGCCTGTATCTTATCATTCGACTATAGTAAGGGTTCCAAATATTCATTTCAAATAGTGCTCACATAATAATATCCTTGGAAAATGCTTGTTTGTCTTGTGCTTAGTGAAGTGAAATGTGGTTGATCGATCTACCTGAAAAACTGGTTAAGTTTATTTAAGTTAAATAAAGGCAAGTTGGTTGGTCAAGAACAATTACTTATTTTCACTCGGTTTTGAATTGAATCATAGATATGTTAAAAAAGTACTGGAGAACCCTAGCATTTTCTTTCTCACTAGAAATAAATGAATTTATTCGAGAATGAAATGGTCATCTTTCGGATGGTTGGACAACAAGTAAATTGTCAACTGTTTTCACAACCAACAATAGTTTCTGATGCCTTTTTGGCATAATAAGCTATAGATTTTATTTATATTTGTGCTTGTGTAGTGAACGAGGACTTGATTACAGTAAACCGATGTACTCTATTATGCGAACGTACTACTGCATTCGTAAAACATGAAAGTAATGCATTAAATACACTATTTGCCTATATTCTTTAAGCCATTCTTTACAAACTTCAACGTCCTTTAATTCCTGATATTATTTCGATTGCTTTCTGCTTTCCTTTCTCTTTTTTCTCCTTTTCTGTCTGTCAGAATGTTATTTTCACTTCCTGATACATGCCATTTATATCTATGCTTACAATTAGAACACATCACACTTAGAATAGTTGAGTAATTCGTGAAATGCGTGTTTTCCACTTATGATAATTATTAGAAGTATCAGTTGATCATCATGTGAATAATTAAAATTAAAATTTCAGATTTATCTTTCATCACTGAATTCGCTTGTATCAGCTGGCTTTTCGAATGTATGAGTATATCAGAACTTTTTCGTGAGGCGAAAAATCCCGTTATAAAAGTTTAATAGATGCATTTCAGGATGAGATTGTATACTTACTCACTTACGCCTGTTACTCCTAATGGACATAGGCCGCAGACCAGCATTCTACAACCCACTCTGTCCTGGGCCTTCTTTTCTAATTCCATCCAATTCTTGTTCATTTTTTCTCATGTCTATCTCCATTTCCTGGCGTAATGTGTTCTTTAGTCTTCCTCTTTTCCTTTGGCCTTGAGGGTTCCATGTGAGGGCTTGTCTTGTGACGCAGTTAGGTGCTTTCCTCAATGTTTGTCCTATCCACTTCCAGCGCTTCTTCCTGATTTCTTCCTCCGCTGGGATCTGGTTTTTTCCCTCTCACAGTTGGTTGTTGCTGGTAGTGTCCGGCCAACGGATCCGAAGTATTTTGTGTAGACAACTGTTAATAAACACCTGTATTTTCTGGATGATGGCTTTCGTTGTTCTCCAGGTTTCTGCCCCATACAGTAGAACTGTCTTGATATTTGTATTGAAAATCCTGACCTTGGTGTTGGTTGACAGTTGCTTTGAGTTCCAGATGTTCCTCAATTGTAAATATGCTGCTCTTGCTTTGCCGATCCGCGCCTTCACATCTGCATCAGATCCACCCTGTTTATCAATAATGCTGGCCAGATATGTAAATTTTTCTACATCCTCCTAAGCATTTCCGTCAATTGTGACTGGATTAGTGCATGCTGTGTTGTATCGGAGAATCCTGCTTTTCGATTTGTATATATTGGGACCTACTGCTGCTGAGGCTGCTGCTACACTGGTCGTTTTCTCCTGCATTTGTTGTTACGTTTGGGATAGAAGAGCCAGATCATCTGCGAAGTCTAGATCGTCTAACTGCATCCCAGATGTCCATTGTATCCCGTGCTTCCCTTCAGACGTTGATGTCTTCATGATCCAGGGTGAGAGTAAGCAACCTTGCCTGACACTGGTCTTTACCTATGGGATTGTATAACTCATATGCACAGTAATATAAATTTGATGAATTAAAAATCGTATAGCACCTTTCTTACAATTAGGATCGTTTAGGGTTAATTTTGTCAAGCCCTTTGATTAACTTGTTTAGACGTGTATCTGAACGTGTTATTGGAACGGCATGTCTATTTATTCGTATGATTGTTTGTTATTACTATCATGTCTGTATGAATATGTAAGCTTGGTCACATGTGACAGCATACGCGCATATTCCTCAATGCCTTAAATGTTCGTTGCTTAAATATCGCTCTATGAATCGTTCGCTTTCCCACGTATATTTATGCTTGAATCTTTTTAATTAATTCGTTTGGATCCGATTTGACTCTGTATCCGTTAACTCGCGCATTAGCTTTTCTGCTTAAATTCGCTTGATGTGCTTGGGACTTTGTCATCTTCACTATTCAATAATAAACTGTAGTCGGCGCTTCGTATTTCCTTCTGAATCTATACACCATTGGAATTTATTTAATGATGGCTATCACGGTGATTGATAAACGAAGTCTAAGGAAATTATCTCGAAGCTAAGCCAACACAAAAATACAAAATTATAATTTCACCTATAATACAATGCTTCTCTCAAACTTTGAAGCCAAAGAGAATATTTGATTAAGAATGTTCTCATTTGAGCTTTACTCTCTCCACATTTGTTTTGCCTAACCTTTCTAGTTGAAGTTTAAAAGACTCGGAATCTAATTATCCAAACGAATAAATGAAGTTAACTTATGTCAAAGAGTTTTCTTCAAATTAATTGATGGTATAATTACTTGGAAATTAAAGAAATTCTCAATATCGAATTGTTAATTCTCCTGCATTTTCTATTTAAAGACATTTAAACAAAAACATAATTAATATACCCGCGCTATTGAAAGTATCATGCGATATTGAGAAGACTGAACTGTCGTATTTTTTATACGAACAAACCAAAAATATTTATATGTACCCTAATGTTATAAACTGTGAAGATTTTTAAACATTATCTATTTGATCATTCGTGTGTACGTAAAGAGTCACCTTAAAAATTATGAGACTATTAAGTCACTTACTAGGAACTGTCACTCCATAAAACAGTAAGTTATTCTGAAACATCTACAAAGTTCATTGATTTACTTTAACGTATCTATGAGAAATAATAAAAACCATTTGAAGAATAATTGGTGATGCTTTCCGAATTATTGACAATTTTGCTTGGATAAATTACTCAAATTGGATACTGAACTGGAAGCCTTTCAAGTTGAATTTCCCAACAAATTAATTGTCACTATTGTCAGACATTTGTATCGATTGTTATGTTAAGCGCACATACCGCATTCTGGCTTACGGACAAGCCATTTTATTCAATCTGCTTGAGTCACCTTTTGACCTTGTTAATTATTCACTTATCAACTTTGACCGTTTTGACATGAGCGTATGTGTGTGCATTTCTTATCCTATTCATCACATATCTGTAACTTATTTTTGTTCGACTATAAATATCGATTAAGGCTTGGTTAAATCGAGTTGGCTGGCTTGCCTTCTCCATTTCATATCATTTAGTTTCGCTTCTCTCTCCCCTACACAGTTCCTTTGATTCGTCTCCCCGACTGCCTATGCAGATCAACGATTGTACGAAATAAACGTATTCAAAACTTCATTCTAGTATTTAACCTATTTAATTTCGTTATTGACTAACGAGGTTTAATTCGATGATCATATACGAGGATTGGTAACATGTATGTTTCAATAACAATCATTCATACGATCCAAATGGAGTCAAATATAGGGCCACTAAAAACAGACTGTATAAGTAGTGTTGTAGTGAACGTGAACGTAATTGGGGATAATCGGACGTATTTGAACAAAGAACTACAGAACATATTAGTAAAATCTGAGAACCATACAGTGAATACTTAATTTGCAAAATGTCAATCAATTGTCTCAAACTTGCCTATTCCTTTTGCAAATATCAGTCAATCGTCTCAGACTTTAATGTCCCTGCATTTCCATACTAATTGCTTTCTGTTCCCATTCTTTCCGCCCCGATCTTTGCTGCCGAACATTCTATCCCTGACTAGCGTTATAAACTTCTTATATCGATATAAGTAGCGCATACCACAGTATCATTTTGGTGGAAGCTGGAAAATAATTTACTTGGCTAAAAACATCATTGGGGACATACTTCACTTATCTAAGATCTTACTCAAATATTTTTATAGTTTCCATCTGTAGCTACTCTCAAGTTCTTTCTAGATTTAAACTCGTGCATATTAGACTTTCGTTACTTATTTCATGTCTACAACTATTCATCCAATAAGGAAACTTATTAGAGATTAGAAATTGAATAAAATGGTAAAATACGAAATAAAACTATATTTTTTTAATTTATCACCCTGTACTGACGGTTTAGATTTACAAAAATTATTTAAAGATTGTTGGTGTTTACTTAGCAATAAAAACAATCAATAATTCACTTCACGACAGTACATTTTCTTTTATTACAGGAAGGTAAACTTGTTTTGGAAACACCGCAACTCATATTACCAATCGCTGACAAAAGTGGTCGTATTCATAATATCCTTCTATCAACTGAAAGAGAACGAACACACTGGCGATCTGCTTTAGAACAAGTGTTAGATAAACTGCCTCATAATACTGATAAATTTTATTCTTTAAGACGTACTACTCCAGATAAAATAAGTACGGATTATTTTCATTCACCATCGCGAAGCCGTAGTTCTTCGATTGGAGATTTTAGCGAACGCCTAAAAAAATATAAACACGTGAGTTCTTTGGTTATGTAAATAAAAACTGATGACAATACATTATATATGTAAGACTAATATTATATTCATTCACTTTATCCAGATAGTAAATACAACAGTGCAACTAAAATTACAAATAATATATCAAGTACATAAAACTACAAACTTTTAATCCTTAGATTAATGCTGTAGATAAATCATATACTTATTATGTATCTTACTACCGTTCAGATAATAATAGAGAAACCTCATCCTTGATGTCTTTTAAAAGGAAATTCTGAATGTATAACAAGAATTCAAAATAATTCAAGAGAATTTATTAACACCATACATTCCTACCCTTAAATAAGATACATACAGAGAAGTCTTCTAAATTAGTTATATGATTATTAAAATTTTCTTGTTTCTTATCTATTTGTAAGAAACTGACATAACCAACCATATAGCAGATAAAACTGTAGTAAGAGACTAAAAGCTTAAATCAGGGATTAATAAAGATTATAGGATGTGATAAAAGTAAATTGGAAAAGAAACAAATATCAATGAAGCATTAAATGAGTTTGTAAGTGGAAGTATGTCTAGTTGGTATACCGCGTTAAATGATTTGGTTTAGTATCATACCTAATGTCATTTTGTGGTTAAACCGAAGTCATCATTGTTTACTAATCTACAAAATATGACTACCAAATCAGTTCCACCTGCCAATCTCATACTGAACACCATATACAGAAGTTTTTAAATTTGATTACGGTACTCTTGCTCTTGATCACATTTTAATTTCGTTTATCATCTCTATATAAATTTATATGAATATCAGTTAGAGCAAATAGTTTGATAACAGTTGGGTACTGAGTATGCAGAAGACATTATATGTAAAAATTATATTTCAAATAATCTTGGTGATTGAAATTTAAAGAATTTTAACATTTCGTCTATCTGTGGTGTGTGCTACTTATGTTGACAGACATAAGTAGTATGTATTACCAATCGGAGGTGCAAAACCTGGCAACAAAGGCTAAGAAGAATTGAATTGAATAGGATAGAAGGGATAATAGAAAGGAATTGTGAACTTGAAGAATCATATTGAATGAGGAGGACAAATGACGAAAATTTGCAAATGAACTATTTACTGCATAGTTCTTATATTTTATGAAGATACTCTATTGCTTTACTTGCTTGGCATAAATTTAAATACAAAGCATTGACATCTGGTTTTATGGGTGAAGTAATATAAAGGAAGCTGAACATTTGCAAATTATCCACCGGTACACTTAAGCGCTTAGTTTGATTAAGACTAATATTTGTGGGGTTATTAGACCTTAGACATAAATTTAACTTGGATTATGAACACTTAAGATAATTCAACTGATTTACTACTGAGTAGTGATCAATATTATGTTTGTCTAGTCTCTTAGTGTTGATTAAATTCCATTGATCCATTTGTAATGACGCTACTAATTTAAAGGATTCAACATCGCGTACACTATACTGAAATGTAAAGAGTTGGAGGTAGTCGTCATGTAACTCTGGATCCACGTTTCGTGCTGGTTGGCGCTCGTCCACAGGGTTACCTACAATTTTGAAGAGACTGATGCTACCAGTGAGGTTGGAATCCACATCACTTGGCTTCAAACTTCCGGATGTTAACACTGAGTTATTTGGGCTTCTGTCCAGTCACTGGTATGTTCTGCTAACGAGTCTCGAATCGCATGGAGTTTGGGTTTAAGGTTTCCTCACGACTACCTCCAACCATCTAACAACTCAGTATAGTCCATAAAATTTCAAGGAGCGTTTAGACAATTAGTATGTCAAAACTAGCTAGAGATTCATTGTTGTTTTTACACAAATCAATGTGATTGAAATATCGCCAATATTTTCAATAATAAAACCACTGATTCATCTGATACTTGGTAGTTGTGATTATTCTTGAACTTCCAGTTTGATTACTTATTGATAATACACAATCCGATACGTCTGTTTTATAAAGGATCTGGAGGATTTAAGTAATCATTATAAGATTACAATTCTTACTGTTGGTCAATGCCAAGTGTATTTCATATTCATCTCGATTATTCTTAGAATATTTATTAATCCGGTTTTCTAAATAGCGAAATAACCTTACTGGGTCTAATTATACAATGGAAATACAGGAGTGTATAAAGAAGTCCATAGATGTTAACTGATCAGTTTGTTTATAAACAACATAATTTTGTACTTCATACCTATTTGTTGTCATAGTAAACACTGTATTACCGTTTTATAGCTATTTTGTTAGCATTTATGTAACCATTGATTGTTTACACTGCAAATGTTTAGCTACTTTCTGACCATGATAATCAAACATTTAACAAACGTTTGCCGTTTGATTATAATTTTGACTAATTAGTTAGGAACGGAATTAAGAAAGCAAGAGATTTTTTTATTCAGGTATCCATTTACCGGAAGATCACTCGTTTCCTTTGCATGTTCATTCATTTTAATCTGTTCCTTCAAACTATTTCTCCTTCAATTCTACTTCACTATTATATTCACTAGATCGTTTCACAAGATTTCTTGATTGTATTTTTGAAGGAGATGACATTATAGTACCTATTAAATCGGTCTATATAAGTATCGCAGCCGAATTGAGCATCAGCCATATGTGAATAAAAATATAGTATTCGATAAGTTCCAAAGATTAAAAGTAACAGCGAGTATTATACACTTAATTTGAAGTCAAGAATACTTGAAAAGTATCAATTTCCAACACAGCCCGAATTCAGTCTTGAGAATCGAAAAACAGTTAAACGTTTTGTCTGAAGCTGACAACCTAGATGTAACGCAAGGATAACTAAGAATGAAAACGTACATTTTGAAGCTGAAAGATAAAATGTGATTTTACTCACAATTGTGTAGTGATTGCTCAATCTCAATGAAACGAAATAATTATCCCAAAAAAATAAACACAATTCATAAAATTATTATAATTATTGGCTTTATTCAAGGTGTTTTTGGTACAATATAGAATTCTCAACACAAATTATTTCAACAAGTTTCCTTTTCTCATTTCTTGATCAGTTGTTGAGACGAATGTTGAGTGGTCGCCAGTTAGATGTTAGCAATTCAGGACTGAACATCTGACTAATATATATTCTTTTCGATGCATACAGCCAGCAACCACGATGTCTCTGACTGAGCTCTTTTGTAACTTGTATAGCAAAATGTCGTAAAGGTTTCACAAATGCACCTGAATAGCTTGTGAGACTAATAGGCATTTTTCTGTGTTAAGGTAAACGAGCAAAATGTTAACATGTTGAAATATCCAAATAACAGAAACGGGTAGCCCAGATATTTAAGCAGGCCGCCTAATAATTAAAACATAATTATAGTTAATTACCTAAGACACAAAAATGCATTTTAATTAAAATGTATGGAGAAAGGTCAAGTCAGTGTAAAGAGATATTCAAATGATAACAAGCCCATTTTTGTTTAACCCACGTTGATATATATTTTGTAAATATGATAAGACACTTGAGAATAGGTAGAATTTTCTCTTCTTTTATAGTCAACCTACCATTTAATGGGTTCAGTGCATTAAATTGATGTGGTTGGGACTCAGCTGTCATATCCGAAAGCTTATTGTTTGTAGGTAGTTAGCAAAATAATTAGTTTTTAACTGGTCTAAATTGTAAAACTCACTTACCCAACATCAATACAAACACAGTTTCCTAAAACTGTACATTTTAAGTAAATCATCGTAACAGTAACAAATTTTACATTGTCATCCTTTAATACAAGAACTAGAAAAGTAAATCTTGAAAAAAGCATCTAACATGACCAGTAATCAATAGAGGGAAAACGAAGCTTGGCCACATAACACAGACATGTTTTCAAACGGGAAATTTCGATAACACCTAGCAAATTGACTAATTTACACGTATTAAACTAACTGGAATGTGGTACTGACAGACATCGGTTAATATCTCAACGAAAATCAAATAGTACTAGTTTATGACTCCTTATCACTGTGTACCCGCTACTGAACTTGAGGGTAAACTCAGAACTCAAGGCTAAATAAATATGCATCATCTCTTGGTTTTCAATTGTATTTCAAATTATATTCAGCAACGATAAAAACTGCCCTCATAATGTAAATCAAGCTAAATTGGTCGTAGACGTTCTATATAGGTATGTATATCCCCTCAGCTGTTTCATTATAAAATCAAAATTGAAGTCACTATAAAGTCAACCAAATAAAAAAATAAATTCTACTTCTTTCTTCTAAGTGAGAATTCGTATTATTCTCATATTTCTCCAGTTGTTGTTACTTCCATACTCAACCCTAAGAATACATTAGAAAAGTAGAAAAACTTCGAATAATTAATATAAGAATTTGACAACTGATCTTACCTCAATCGAATTCCTCCCTTTCCTATCAATGAAGTATTGTTTTTATGATTATTAAGAAATGTATTAGTTAAATTGTTTTACGATTTGCTTTTTCTCTTTTTCCTTTATCAGATGGTTAAATTAAACAAAGTTGGTCTCTCAATAATTGACAGTAAGTTAAACAGTTACTCTCCATTCACATTCAAGTCTCTTTGTTTGACAAAACATCTAAATTAAATAGAATGAATGGATTGTGGGAGTAATGGAATCCAAGAAGATACCTTTCATTCCATCTGAGATAAGACTGACTGTATTTTAAAGATAGTGAACCACTAGATTATTATGGTTGTTACCACAAAAGTAAAATATCTCAAAATCGATTACACATAGAAAGCTAGGAAGGTCAAAATCAGCATTAAACTGTTTAGCTGTACTTCTTGAATCCCAGTAATTCCTTAGATGACCTTTCCTTGATTTTTAAATTATGTTCTGCTAGACAAATATGTTTAGGTGATAAAAGTATAATTGGATTATATGTAAGATCAAATGTATCATGTACAATATTGTTATAAATCAAATCAGTTATTCCTTGCTATCAGCTATTCATAATTAAACTTAGAAGAAGACAAAAATAACTGTAAATATAACAATCATTATCGTTAACCAGCTGTTATGAAAGTAAAATCATTCAAAATACAGTAGAATTTTTTCAACAGTAAAAAAAGACTTTAAAGCATAACAGATTACCAAGATAAAACTTTTCTTTTATAAATTTATTCAATAGAAGATGAACCGATAACTGGTTATATCAAAGCTACAGTACATGGAATTGATGGATTGAATGAGAAAAACAGTAAGATTCAATGATAATTTCTTGGTAGTAATATCTATAGCACTAATTCATTTTAATACTTTATAAGCTTTCTATTAATTAACTTTTGTAGGGATTAATGGATTTACTGTTGTTCAAGAATGATTATTCATAACGAAACTGTTCAAATTTCGGTTTATCTTTTAGCTATAAATAAGAAAAATAATCCACTTAAAGATTAAGAAAAAACTTTTTTAGACGATATCATTTACTAAAGCTATACAGTCTTATTTCAAGCTACTTATTTATTTATTTATGCATGTTACTCCTGATCGAGAAGCATAGGCCGCCCACCACCATTCTCTAATTAATTACTTCCTGCACAATCCTTTCCAGTTGTCTTCAATTGCTATTTATCCTTTTGATATCTGCCTTCAATTTTCAACGTAGTGTTTTCTTCAATCTTCCTCTTTACCATTTCATTTCAAGATCCTACGTTAGCGCTTGCCTCATGATGCAGTCTGATGATTTTCACAATGTATTTCCTTTCCATCTCTATCGCTTTTTCTTAACTTTTTCTTCGGCTCGTATTTAAAGTTGACCAGCATAAATAAAATCAAATTTGATTATTTTTCAGAGGGTTAAACATCCAGCTGTTTCATTCTATGCTTATGTATGCTAATTAACTGTAAATACTACTGCACAATTTTAGTGAATTACATCATTAGAAATAGAAATCCTTTATTTGTTATTAAGAATACAAATTTCCGTTGTCAGTAACACATCAAATTTAATTCTAATTACAACTAACAAATTAGGAAGATTTCAGACATTTGTTGGAACGTAATTGAACACATCGAATTTTTCAATACTCTAATGAATGGTTTATAAGTAAATGGTGTTCATAATGGTGTTCAGATTCAAATTCAATAATATACGCTTTTATATTGCCTAACCATTTTATTGTTAGCTATCCAGTACTCCTTAGGTTCAAATATTTGTTTAACTTAGTATATAGTGCTAACTAGGAAATGGTATGATAAAAATCACGTTTTAATGATCCTATTTAGTTAAACACTGTATTAGATGATTTAAATATTCGATTGTACATATACTTTACAAAAACATAAACAGTACATGTCAGTTTAATGCTTACTTTAGCTAGTAAATAATTTCAAGAACATTCACTCGTTTTTATTCAACTACAGGCAACAGAAGAACTGTATTAAAATAACGTACATAATGTTTGTTAACATTGACCTAATCCAACTGAGCACGAATATTCAGATGTGTATCCATAATAGTATAGTATAATAGTTTACACTAGTAATTAGACAGTTAACTTTTAAGATCACAAACACTAAAGGATTACCTTTCCATCAGAAACTGTGAGCTAACTAATTAGCCACATTAAGTATTAGTCAAGGCAAGGGACTGAAAAATTTCAAAATCTCAGTTCGTTAATATTATGAAACGTAAAATTTTCATATAGATTGTACTGACATTTCCTCCATATTCAAATTACGAAAGTTCAATTGAAGTAGGTAAGTAACTTATATCAGCTTAGATGAAGTTTTGTACATTTTCTGACTAAATTACACTGATAAAATGTATGAAACTTTACTAATACAAACAAATCTAAGAACGGAATCGATATTTAAACTTTAAAATACTTAAGGTGAAGGTTGTATACAAGAAATGAAATTGTAAAGTTAGTAACATTCATTTAATAAAAATACACAAGGTAAGTTTCTGTTATACAATATATACAGTATGTAGTTTTTTATGGAATGAAATAATTCAGTCTTAAATAAGGCATCGAACAGAGGAAAATCAGTCACGTTGAGGTCTAAACGTTTATTCCAGAAATATTATTATTATTAGCTTTATTCAATATTATAAATTTGGTACAATATAGAATTCTGAGCACAAAGTATTTTAGCGAGTTTCCTTTTTGTTATTTCTTGATCGGTATTGATCATAAATATTGAGCGATCACCAGTTAGATATTAACATTTCAGAAGACGACATCTGAATAATATTTATTCTTTTCAATCCATATTGCCAGCCATCACGATGTCTCCGATTGCAATTTTTGTAACTGAATAGGTTATGCAGCTAATTGGCATAATGACAAACAAGGAAATAAATAACTTGTTGAAATATCGAGATGACAGGAACAGGTAGCCCAGATATTCAAGCAGACCACCCGATTAGTGCTTTATAGCATTTACTGAGATTAGATGGTGGTTAGAGGTAGTCAACAGGAAACTCTGGACTCGGGTTTCATGCTACTTGGCACTCGTCAGCAAGGTGTACCTGTAATCTTGAGGGAACTGGTGCTCCCTGGCGGATTCGATCTCGTGTCACCCAGCTTCACAGTCAGAGACGTTACCACTGAACTATCCGGGCCGCGACTGATCACCTGTAGGACTGAGACGTAATCACAATTGATTGATCACTGGGTGGCGATCAATGTCATGTGTGTCAAGACTGGTGGCCACATTGCAACGTGGTCGATAGCATTCGATCTGCATTAGATAAGGACTTGATATACATGACATTGATCACCACCCAGTGATCAATCAATTGTTTATAGCATTTACGTCCTATTCTAAATTAGATTAGAGATAGCTCCTAAAACACTTATTCATTTGTTCTCATAAATACTCTTGTAATGCCATTTGATTATTTTTATTCCAATACTTTATCCTTTATTTTTCCCTTCCTGTAATACGAAACTTGACCGCTTCAAAGAAAGATTTTCTAATATTAAATTTTATTTCATTATCTTCAAAAATAATATATTTAATTCAGTTGATTTTAATATGAGATTTATTTTGTTTTATACTTCAGGTTATCATGTTCGTATTGAAGTTGATTCATATGGTCAATATGAAGAAGTAGCTTGTACACGTGTTTTACAACAATGTAATCCACAATGGGAACAGGTAATAACAATTTAAATCTTTATAATTTTTAATTTATTTATTGCTAAGCATGAAAAGATGATTAACAATAAAAAAATGGAAAGTAATAAACAAGTTTACTAATAAGTTTAGATAGAAATAATTTACACAGATTGAAATCATGAGTCATTTGAAGCTAGACCACAATTGAAAACCTGGAAGCACTGGACGGCCGTTTCGTCCTAGTATGGGACTCCTCAGCAGCGCGCATCCACGATCCTGCACCCCGTGGGGCTCGAACCCGGGACCTACTGGCTTCGCGCGCGAGCACTTAACCATTAGACCACTGAGCCGGGATCGTGGACGCGCACTGCTGAGGAGTCCCATACTAGGACGAAACGGCCGTCCAGTGCTTCCAGGGTTTCAATTGTGGTCTAGCTTCAACTGACTCATGATTTCAATCTGTGAAAATTTCTAAAATCTCCACAAACCCCTTCTGATAGAAATAATTTAAACTAATTCACTATTTATCAAAATGTTTCTGTTCATTTTCCAATATGACAAATAGTAAAGAAGATTACTATTTGTATTACAAAATCAATAATATATTTGTAAAGGTAACAACCTATAAAAGAATGACATTGAAAATTAATTGAATTATTACTTTTATTCACTGAAGACTATTTGATGTCAGAAATGGAAGATAAATATTTCAGTCTTGTTTATCAGTTGATCTTATCCAGATTACTAGGCAAAAGGATATCATGCCCTGAAATTTTTTAAAGCATCCAAGTTCCATTCATGAATTAGTAGTGTAGCTAGTAAGATGTTTAAGTTGTGACTCAAGTTCAATATAACTAAATTATGTATATAAGATCATTGAATAGTGACTAGAACATTCTTTCAATTTCCATTACTAAGTGAGTTTATTCAGTTAAAACTCGCAAAATGATTAATAAGTTTTACAACAGTATAACGGTATCTTTCATCCTTATCTTGTTGATTAATAAAACTAAATCACATAAATACTTACTAATTTTAGCTAACTATCAAAATTCCAAGTATAGGAGTTTAGACTATATGAAGTAGTAATGACCATATTAACCAATCTGTACTTAAATTGTCCCCATACAACATAAAACAGTTGTTTTTTTAGTACTGAAAATTTTACTAATACTCAACATAATATGAAAACTTTCATTAAAACTATCCTCAAAGTATTAAAATCCCCAAAATGACTAACTTATCTCAACCTATATGATAATTTAGCTTAGAATAAGTAAAGGAAACCATATAACTTAGATTCATCAATAGGAAGATTCAAGCAAAACAATATCAAGTGAATTCAACTTCAACCCATTGCACAAGCAAGTGGCTATCAGGACTCAGTAGGTAAGTGGATAACGCGATGGCGTTTGAAGCGAACGGTACTGAGTTCGAGTCCCAGAGTGAACATCAACTCTGAGATGCAGGTACATCCAGCTGACGAGTCCCAAACAGGACGAAACGGGCGTCCTGGATTCCACTGCTAGCCACTATCCATCTTTGCTTATAATCATCTTGTTTTAGTCTCAAACATGCTTACCCACTAATCTGAAATTCTTTAACGTTTTATTAACTACACTATTCATCCATTTATATCTCATACAGAAAAAATAATCCTATTACGTTTATTGTTTGAAGTAATAAAAACTATATCTTAATTTAATTGTTAGTAGAACTTTTGACTGATCAATTTTATTTTACAGAATTCATTAAGATACTGAAGATTAAAAGAGTATTCATTTGTAGATTATTGTAAGGACATATAAATGCTTTTTTTTAAAAAAATATTCTATTCATTTATAGTCATTTGATTTAGAGGTGGATGGTGCATGGACGATATGTTTTACATTATACATTCATCAAGAAATGTTTGCAGAATTAGACGTTCCTGTAAGTATTTCCTAATTAATTAATTAACTAATTAATTTTACTTTTACTGTTAAAAAATGTCTACATAAAGAATTATTATCAAAAGGGGTTTTGTAGAGATTGTAGTAATTTCAATAGCTGAGATCATAAGTACATTGAAATTAGACCACCATAGAAAACCTTGAAGCAATAAAAGGCCACGATCCACGATCCCGCCTCGGCAGATTCGAACCCAGGACCTATCAGTTGAGATTAGACATTAACACAGTTGGCGGCTCAGTGGTCAAATGGTCAAGTGCCCGCGCGCGAGACTGACAGGTCCTGGGTTAGAATCCTGCAAGATGGGGTTGTGGATGCGCACTGCTGAGAAGTCCCATACTAGGACGAAATGGCCGTTCAGTGATTCCAGGTTTTACATGGTATTTTAACTTCAAATGACTCATGATCTCAACTACTGAAATAAAAACTTAAATTTTTCTATTAGATTACAAAGAGAAATGGCTTATTTTCTTTGAAAATTTATAAATTTATTTAAAAATGAGTTCCTAAAAGAATACTAAACATAATTTGCTTCTCAACTATGTTCTTTGCTGAAGGTATTTAGTTGGATTTATTATTATTTACCAGATAATGGTCTGTATCATCATCAAATGCGATGGAAATCTAAAATATCTAATAAGTGTTAGATAGGGGTGATGAAACGTAGAATTAATCAAACAAACACACTGGAACATTGCAAAAGAAATTACGACATTTCTAGGAAGAGAACTTTACGTTTCAATGTTGAAATCGACCAAAAATTTAATAAAGGAACATTTATGGCTAATTACCACAATCAGGTACTTAATAAAATGAACAATAACATATAATTCACAAATTGATCGAAAGTGCTTCTAATTACCAGAAAACTGTAGAAATAATTAGTAAATGAGATGTGTGAGAAATAACTGTTCAATTAATGGATATAAAAAAGATAATCAAGAAACGAACAAATAGTGATTTCTTTGAAAATGTTGATTGAAATTTAGAGAACAAGCTAAAATAGAAGTACGAACAGATGTTATATTGTGCATACCTTTTTAATTCATGTTACTTTAGAGGCAGTTCATTATTTTAATATATTATTTACGCCTGATACTCTTCGTGGAGGATCACTAGCACTCTCCATTCAACCCTGTCCTAAGCAATCTTTTCCAGTTCTTTCCAGTTGCTATTCATAACTGCTTTCATTTCCCGATGTAATGTGTTCATCGGTCTTCCCTTGCAGTACATTAGAAATGTTAAATACTTTTAAATGATGATTATGTTAGAAGTAATTGAAAAGAGTTGATCAAATGTTCAATAATGAATCTATTCATTAATTTTAATGCTGGGAAATATATTTAAAATGACTATACTTTGTGTGGCTTATAGAACCTCCTCTACAATATCAAGTAAACTGTTTGATGAATAATGAAATAATTCATGGTCTCATACTACTCAAATGTAAAATAAACCACAGATCATACATTTTTTTAAAAACTTTTTTAACTCTTTTAAATGGGAATATACTAAACTAATTCTTTCAATTGGGATAACATCCTAAATAAAAAAAATCATAATACGTTTGTTATTAAACGGAAGGAATTAGTTATGGGGTAGAATTGGTTTATTTGATTTTTTCCCCTTTCAACTAATTAGAACTGACATAACAAAAAAAATGTAAATAACCAATTACATTAATTTCTCTTTTAATATTTTAGTTAGATCTAGAATTACTTAAAACCAATTCACGAATAGATATGAAGATATTAACGAATGAAAATCCTCCACGTAGTGTAAGTCTATTCCATTTATGATAAGTTTATAATTTACTTCACTTGGTATTGTTTACTTAAATCTTCTCATTAATGTTTAGGACTGAGATTGATCAGCCTCTTATTGGTATATGTGCATACTGTGCATATTACCTCTATATTGTCTTAATTCACAAGCATTATAGGCAAAGATGGATAGTGGTTAGTAGTGGAATCCAGAACAAAACGCGCATTCTAGAATTCACTGTTAGCCACTATCCATCTTTGTTTATAATTTACTGTTTTGAAAAGAAGAATATAAGTTGATATTCTAAACATACATATAATCAAATATAATTATTTATATCTAAAAGAAATAGTTGAACTTATAGCTGTAGTGAACGAGAACACACAAGTGGAAACAATGGAATGTATTTGAATACAAAATAATAGAATATCGTAGTAAAATTTGAAAACCATACAATAATGACTTTATTTGCAAAATGTCAATCAATTGTTTCAGACTTGATTGTTCCTTCGTTTCCACACCAATCATTCTGTGTTCCTGTTCTCTTTTCTTCGATCTTCTTAACCTTTTGTTGACAGACATTTCACTTTCGACTGATGATACATACTACTTATAACTGTTGACATCAGTAGCACAGACCACAATAACGATACGTTACATTTAAAAATGAACTTTCTCGCTCAAATATTCATTACAAAATAATGCAATTTCACAACCATAATTAATTATATTATTTTAATTGAAATTTAAAGCGGATGGTTGTCTGGAAATGTAATTTTACGACATATGTTAATCACTGCCACCGAAAAAAACCTTTGCATTTCTCTAAGTTGGATGTTTTATTCAGTTTTCATTGTGAAGATTTATACTGATATCATTTATCAGTTACCTATCAGTAAGCAATCACATTCCATTACTTCAGAACTTTTTTTAAATTCCACAAACAATTGACAAATATCAACTTATTATAACAAAGTGACGACTGAGTTTGAAATATATAGATAACACCAGAATTCAGGTTTGCTGTCTTTCGTCTATCAGTTGATCTCCCAAACCTAACTACTAACAAACCATCAAATCTCTTACACTGACTGAAGCCATAAACTCTCTAGATGCATTTCATTTTGTGAAATTAGATTGTCGCTGATTTAATAATCTGGCTGTAAAAGATCACTTGCAAATGAATATCTGGACAGTTAGAAGATATGATTATTTTTATTCTTGTTAAAATAGTTAATTTGCTATTGACTTTCAGAGAAATAATCAGTCTATATCCGTTAAATTAAATGTTTTAAAATCTTTCACAAGAATCTCAAACAGTATTATGTTTTTAATATCACAGCTAACCTTCTCCGTATCTTTGGAATATGTTGATCAAGTAAATCTTAATAAAAATAGACGGTCTGAAATACGTGGGAATCTATTCGGACGTCATTTAACAGAGCTTATAAGGTAAATCGATCAGCTTAAGAGCATGTACCTTTAAATTTTTTATTTGTCAAATACTTTGATTCAGTTCGAGCACTCTGCTAAACTTGCTTTGACTTCATCAACTAGCATTCCTTTATTATTTACATCTTTTGAACATAATTAGTCGGAAAACAATCAACTATCGTCCAGCAATACTCGAATAATGAGGTCAACTTTGAAGTGTTTAGCTAGAATAAAACAATTATATTGGGCTTCTAAAATTCTAGTAAGTTTTCGTATGATTTATGCTTCTACTGAGAAGAGTTTGAGAATATGCATTCATTCCTTGAATAACGCAATGGTGATGCCATTAATTGTGACACTGAATGACTCAGGTTACAACAACGTACGGAGAGGTAGCTTGATGTTCGTATTAAAGATTCCGATTTTGATATTAGTTGGGAGAGCGTTGTTTTGAGTTCCATATGTTCTTCAACTGTAGGGATGCCGCCCGCGTTTTGCCAATCCTTCAGTTTACATCCTCTCTGTTCATCGATGATGCTGTCCAGTTAGGTACGTGAAAGTTTCTACCTCTTCCAACTTTCCTCAGATCTATTTTATTTTGTATCTTGGTGATATCTACAGGAAGGTTTTTAGGTGCTGCTTCGATGTCCGGTGGGTTCAGTGGAGCCGAACTACGCAAGAGTCCCTCAAAATGTTCCACCCATCTGTCTCTCTGATCTCCAATCTCAGTGATTGGTTTGCCTTCTTTAACCCTGATTGATCTCTTTGGTTTACTATAATTTCTTGCCAGTTTATTCATCGTGTCATATAGTTGCTACATATTTCCTTCTGTTGCAGCTTTTCCACTGTTGTTGCTAGCTCTTCCACGTATTTCTGCCTATCGGCTCTAATACCCCTCTTCACTTACTTGTTTGCCTCAGTGTATTCAGCTTGTACCTTGACCTTCTCTACTTCTGTTCAACTGTTGTTACTTGCTGTCTTTTTATTTTCCTTTCTTGAATCTCTTCTAGGGTTTCGACCCATTTGCCTTTGTATATGCATTTGTGTTAGCGGGAATATTGTGCCGCATACAACCACTTTGTTGAATGCACATTAATTTCAAAATCTGTCACCATTCTTGTACCTTCCTTCCACTCCCCTGTCCATATCGTCCCATGATATTTTCAGACCCATCGTTGTCTATTCAGACTTTGATGTTTAGATTTCCAATCAAGATTGTCAAGTCCACTCCTGGGCACTTCGCTATGATCGACTGCAGTCTCTCACAAAACTGATCTTCATTGTCGTCCTAGCTATCATCGGTTGGTGCATAACATTCGATAACATTCATTGTGATTTCCTTCCTCTTTCTTTCGAAGGATGCTTTGATGATCATCGATCCATGAGATTCCCACTTTATAAGCGCTCTGCTCTATGTGCTTCTTAGTGCAGCATCAAAGAAACTTCCTGAGTGTGTGGAGCATTTTCGTCTTCATGACCACAGTATGGCAGCATCTCTCTACAATCTATCTTTTTCTGTTCAGCTTTGGTCTAATGAGTTTGACTAATTCTGAGAGCAGTCATGTTGTTTCTTCTAATTTCCAATAGCTATTTGATTGGTCCTTCCAGTCTTTCACACTGTCCGAACATTCCATGTACCTATATAAGTTGTTGCTTTGGTTGTTAGAAGGGACATCAGCCTCGTTACTTCCACAGACTCTCGATTTTCATCATGTGTCATAATTCTTCCTTCAACTCGGAAGATAGAGTTTAAATAGTCTAATTTGTTTATTTTGTAGCAAGGTTGTCTTCTACGGGATGGGGTTGCTGACCCAATGTCCAACCCTCCTCCTTTACTCGTTCTTGGACTGTTGGTAATCCTAGATGAGCTACAGGCGGACTTACTGCCACCAACTATCTAAAGTCAGAAAATCCTGCACGTCATATCGAATCACTTACATTATAAGCCACAATACAACCTGGTCTACGGGACTCGATCAACACCTAGGCCTAAACCAATATAACATTAAGTGCTAGCAAGAAGTCAGTTAGTAGATTAATTTTGTAGCTATTATAAAAGCAATACACAATGACTAAATTGTCACAATTTTCCAAGTCACAAAGATCCAATTTATTTTTTAATGCGATTTCATCTTATTCCTTTAGGGTTCCAAATGACATCGATAAGAATGAGTGTACAAAAAAGCATAAATCTGAAGCTTTTATACCCCGTTTTGTAATCGCATGTGTCGAAGAGATTGAAAGGCGAGGTTTATTAGTAGTTGGACTCTATCGATTATGTGGTTCCAATGATAATATCAAAGCTTTAAAAAGTGAATTTGATGAAAGTAAGAAATACTCTATATATTTTTATTTTTTAAAATCACTGTTTAATAATGAATATGCAATTTTAATGACATTTCCATAGACTGTCTCTCATTTATATTCATATTTTTTATTTAGTTTCTTTTTCATGAATCATTTCATAAGAGTACTATTAAGTGATCATTAAAGAGATCATTTTTTACTTAATAACTGGAAATCAAACCTCAAGAAAACATAATGATAATGATTCGAACCGACATTTGGCAAAGCTAATTTGTTGACATAAACGTTTATTTTATGTGTTCATTTTAAAGTCCTCAAACTGGTTATTAAGCCATCTGTTTAAAGAAAGGCAGTGATATCCAATTCGATGTGCTTTTTTGTCGATATTACATTTTAACTCTACAAAAGATGTTAGTCAATTCTACCTTCAGTTTCTGTATGTTCTAAAATGTATCATACATTTCCGTAGTTTTTATGCCTTAAATGTTATATCAAAGAGATAAAGAAAATGTCCTGGATATTTCTATTTAAAACAATTTTAATTAAGCATGGCAACATTAAATTGTAAAAGGGCGTATGCTAAAGTTTAATAAAGCCTCAACCATACAAAAATTCAAACCCCCTTTATGTATTCAAAAACAGTTTGTTCTGACCTTAAACTTGCCCTGGTAATATTAGCTTATTATCTAGAGTGATGAGGTTTCAAGTTGTTTTTACATTATTTTCTTTATTATCCTTTTTTCCTCTTACCCTTCAAATTCCCTGACACAGCCGAGGGTGGAGAGAGTCAGCTCTCCCTCTCGAAACACTCTCACATAGCCACGCGTATACAGTCACTGTCAGGGGAGTCCTACTCACATCCCTCCCGTTGCGGGGGCGTTGTTTACGAAATTGAGAGGACGAAGAGCGAATATCCGGCGCCCCAACCGGATTGGTGGAAACAGGGGACCCATCTAGGGAAGTTGGAAAACCTTGATTCCAAACCAATGGTGCACATGGGCTTCAGGATCCTGAGGGAGCAAATGGAGTATGAACCACTGGCTACTATGGGACTGCATTGCCTGATGTTACTCCACTGCCTTGGGGATCAGACCTTTAGGCTGAAGGCTCCGGGTGTGGCCCTCTAAGAAAACCACCTGCTTCGATCTGGACACCCGGGCAGTATCACAGCCCTCACACAAATCAAGCGAATTGTGTAGCGCATATGCCTCTTTGTACCAATATTTACGTGTTCAAATAAATGAATAAATAAATAAACCTCTTACCTTCCATTTCTGGTCTAGTTGACCTTTTATTTTTATAGATAAATGTTCTTAACAAGTATATTATGTATGAAATGTATTACCCTAATATATCACATAGTTCTGTTAATCATCGTCTTCTTATTACACTATTGAAATTTGTTTGAAATTTTATATTTACAAATAATTACCATCAATCTTGTCTCATATTTATAGATGATTAATGTATATAAAGCAATATAGTTTTGAATTCTGTTTAATCAAGGAAGTGTACACGAAATGGTACTGCACAAAAATATCCTCCATATAATTCCGATCTATTTTAGTAAGATTTCTGAAAGAAAATACAAATAAAAGAAATAATAAAAAGATTTATAGTTGAAGTGTTTACTTTTAAGAGTGTGTATCCCTTGAGCTGGATAGTTTTATTAAAAAGTTTTCATTATTGTTCTAGGTAATATAGTTAGCTTCTATGTAGAATGTAGAAATGGAAACTCTCTGGTTACTTAGGTACTTTAGATAATGATTAGGTTCACAATTTTCGTTGGTGCATTTCACAAAGCAATAATCAATAAGTACTATATGAACTTCCTGAGATTGGATGTAGTGAATATTACAATGACTTTTGATTTTAATATTTTTTTCGTAAATCAGACACTTGCAAATAGTGTCAGGATTGAGTTTTAAAAAATCGACTATGTGAAAGGTATGTGACCAATATGTTTTAGTTATCAATTGTATTTTATTTATATTTCAGGTTGTACTTTAGCTATTCAAAGATTACCGCTTGTTGAATTACCGGTGATTACTAGCTTATTAAAACAGTTCTTTCAACATTTACCAGAGAGTTTGGTTGATTATTCAGCTACTATAGCTTTACTTCAAGCAGTTGGTGAGTTTATACTATTAAGTAAATTTATATCTTTGGGCGATAAAATAATGAATCTATTATGGATAATTTATTTTAGCCTCTTTACTTACATTGAAGCAAAATTCTGACAATTTTCAAATACTTCCCGATGTCTGCACATTTTTATTTCATAGTCAATTGTTTAAAGCATATAGATAAAGTCTCCATTCGAAGGTTTGTTTTCGCAAGAACTTTCTATTGAATTCTACTCTTGGCATTTAGAAAATATATTCGGAATAAATCTGAGCTATTCTTACTGAATTGTATCACCTGAAAAGGCTTAAGGCCTCGTATAGTTTGTCCCCAACCATCCTATCCACAATGATGTATGATTTTATGGACTCGTGCTGAAAAACTACACTGCTTTAATAGGTTGCAAGAAATGGAGTCAGAGCGCCCAATGATACCATGATTTTTATATTGTACAATTGGCGAGATAATATTATTGTATTCGAACAGATCATCTACGATTGGGATGTAATTCTCTTTACTAGAGGTCACTACTACGTATTCTTGTTCATTTGTCAGACTGATCAATATATTTGGAATTTCTGATCTTTTTCAAGCTTTTTTACTTGACCTGCGAACTTTTTTTGGTGATATTTGTGAATCCTTGCCCATCATATGAATTGACAACGCACTAAATATTAGTGATTCCTTTAAAATCCTATCCTGACTTCTCGTTACATCAAAGACCGAAGTTTAAATGCCCAGTTATTAGGATATTGGAATTATTTGCTGAAGAATCAGTAGTACCCACTTATGAAACTTATACTTCCTCGTCTGATGTATACTAAATTCAACTAGTTGATAAATTAGCCTGTAAAGTATGAGGCTACAAGAAATAGATTCTTGAATGTAATATTTTATAAAATAGCGAAAACAACGAATTTCATTTTTTATAATTGATTGCCAGTAACCGTTCATATACCACAATGTTAAAGTTGTAAATTATGTATACGAGAAGTATATTTATCAATATGGATTGACCTAACACATTAAAATGTGGATTAGGCAGAAATTTTATTTGAAATTTGATAAACACCAACGATTCCTAAGGTCTAAATAACAGTCATAATATAATGATAAACAAGCTGTTGTGGTTAGTTGTGATTATCCTAGTTAACAGTACGGTGGTTTATGCAGTTTGTAGTGTTTTCACAGTTGAAATCATGAGTCGACCTAAGCTAGACCACCATTAAAAATCTGGAAGCATTGGACTGCCACTTTGTCCTAATATGGGACAATTCAAAAGTTAGCATCCACATCCTGCATGAGAATCTCAAAACTAAGACATTTTGTTCTTGCGCGTCAACGTTTAACCTCTAAACCACTGAGCTGGCAATCGACGGTGTTAATGTCTACCTTTAATTAATCTAAATCTTGCCCAATCCTTCATCTGTTGACTGAGGCGGATATCTGTATCACACACGACATGAATTGGATTTCAGTTAACTCTACACTAACTTTTTTATCTAGAATTTTATAAGACGTTCATTGGTTCATTTTTGTTCTCATTTACATTTACAATTAGAAATTCCTGATGAATCCGTTCGTTGTCAACTCATTGAAGACATCCTTGTCGATCTTCCCACCCCAAACCTGGAAACATTCAATTACTTAGCCAATCATTTAGTCACGTAAGTGCCATATATTTCTAACAAAGACATACAATATACGAAACAGCGACTATTTCATTTTGTTCGCTGCAGTCTTTAATAGAGATGATGGCATTCTTGTTTGTAGTTCATCGAGAGATCCCCAAATATTGACAATAAATGGTAACGGTTGTTTAAAGCTACTCAAAAGTTCTAAGGTGACTTTGTACTTTTAAAAATAACAGAGTCTTGATATTTGACATTTTTTACTCAAAGTATTTAAACTGTGTTACCCTTCACATTTAAAATGTTATAAACATCCTCAATAAAATGGGAGGATTTATTACGAACTTGATTTAATTTTACATGAAATTGTTTATCATATAAAGAATTTAGTGGTTATGGCTTTAATTAGGTTTATGAATACTGATGCTTTGTGTCACAATGTATTATTTATTCTATGACTTACCACTCTAGTTATACTAAATAATAATGATAAGCCCAAACACTGAACAAAATATGTTGATTACTGTCGACATTCCAACAGTGACTACAAAACAATACGATTCTAAGCATACTTATCATACATTTTGCTGATAGGTCTCTCCTCATAATATTTCACAGATTAGCAGTTAGTCATATTTATTTATTATAATAATCACTAATTCATTTATTTTTTTTAGGGTAAGTAATTATAAAGCGCAAAATAAAATGGATTTAGGCAATCTTTCGTTAATATGGAGTTACACCTTGTTTGAATGTTCACCTAAAACCATACCGTCTACTGAAATGAATGAACAAACTAAAAGCGGATCTTCATTGAAATCAAACACAGCTGAAATTCAAGCAGCTTTTAGTTTTCAACAGGCAAAAGTATTAAACTGCATCCTGACATCAATGAAATCCGGAAAACTGACAATACCATCTCATAGCAATGTAATTAGACCAGTATATTCATAAATTATAATAAACTTGATGCTTTTTTATCTACAAAGTTGAATGTATTTTTTATTGTTCGTTTCAATATTTTTATTTTGCTCATAAATAGGAATCACAAGAGTTTTGATACTTCTGCCATTGCTTTCTTAAAATCAAAAACTTACTTTGTATCCTATTGGTTAGATGAATATCTATTTCAACAATGTTGTAGTAGATTTATTTACGGGAAAGTAGATTATTAAATGTCTGATATTAGTCCTATAGTTAAATATACGTGGATAACCATTTCTGATGAGTATCTGTCGAAGCTGAAACAATTCGTTATCTATCATGTCATTAGAACATATTCGCCTAATCCTTGAGGATAAAGAGTAAGTCAAGTTTCTCTTTCTACTGAATGGGACACAGCTATAGAAATTTGTACACTCCCCATTGTATACGTATAACCATTTGGCCATCTTTTCAACTGGACATCAAGAATCTTCGGTCACCTCTTCCTCCAATGTAAATTGAATCGAGTGATGACAATCATTGAATTGATTCAAAAATTCATCTTCTTCACAAATAATGGAAGTATCATTCATATATCTCTGATATAAATGATAGGGACTTAACACCAAGACAACATTCTGATAAAGTGTCGACATTTTAAAAGAAAACTTTTTATGAAAATAGAATTTGAATGAGATGTAGATGCCAAACTCTTGTAAAAAAACGGATTTCAAAAGCCCTAAATAAAATGTTCTATTCAGCTAAGCTCTGTATTGATTTCTCAATCCGGCCTACAATTTACAGATGTGCTAAGGATAAACTTCCGCTTTAGGCGAAATCGATGTTCAACTAGAAGTTTACTTGTTTCTGTGAGGCAGGATACCTTGGACACACAAAGCGATCATTTTCTAAATTCGTCTCAGAACAGTACCCGGTGTGGCTTTTAAGAGAAGAATGAAAAACTATTATCAGTTCAATATAGGAACACCTAATCAACTCTGAACACGTCGCTCTGAAGGAGTCTTCATTCAAAACAATCTCCACAATCAAATGAACTGGATCGAAGGGAGGTCGAATTAAAAACTTATTCACAGTTGAGGCATTGGTGATCCACCAATTCAAGCCTGTGTGCAAAAACGATACGTCCAACCTGTCATCCTCCCTTGGCCCTAATTGTTCTCTAAACTCCTGATTATTACGCAACCACATTTGGTAATTAGAGTCTCGAATCACTTTATGATGCATTCCTTTTTATCCTACTATAGACATATGTTTGCCATACAAATATAAATACGAATATACAACTTAAGTAAATGATTTCATCGAAAACAAAATTCTCACTGAATTATATTTAACTTGAAAAGAATTGAAAAATGAAGTAATCATGGAATGAAAATGAGAGGTGAAAAAATATTATTAAATCAAACATGGTTTGCGTTAACAGGGTCAGAAAATACTGGTTAATATTTCCCCACAATCAGAAGGGGTTTTGTGGAGATTTTAGTAATTTCAATAGTTGAAATCATGAGTCAGTTGAAGCTAGACCACATCGGAAAACCTGAAGGGACTGGACGTCGGTTTCATCTTGGTATGGGACTCCTCATCAGTGCGCACCCACGATCCCGACCACCGCGAGATTCGAACCCTATCAGTCTTGCGCAAGAGCGCCTAGCCATTAGATCACTGAGCCGGCATCCAACAGTGTTAATGTCTAACTTCAACTTATCCACGAAATTGCGACACCGTGCACCATTGTCTTCAGTGAGCTGATATCTCACAACAGACCTGGTTGAAATCCACTGGTCACGGCTTCTCCCTATAAATTCATCATTTAGATTTCAATGTTTTAACACTTATAGCTTTAGCAAGCGTTAGAAGTCTAGTTCTTGCGATATTTCAAAGTATCTATAATACTTTATAGGTTAAAAAGTTATTCAGAAGCTAAATGATAGAAGGCTTTCATTTTCATTTCAGTTAAAATATTTATCATATGAATATTTTTAATCCCATTACTACTAGTATGAAAGAACAAATGAAAATCCACTTGGTGTTCTGTGATTGTATCTTCCCATTGTTATTTAGGACTGCAATTGGCCAGTCTCTTGTTGTCATATGCGCATCCTGAGCGGATTGCCTCGATATTTCCTTAAGTCATAAGCCTTATAAGCAAAAATTATGGTACTAGATCGATTCCTGAAGTGAACGTCGAATCTGGGATGCAGGTACATCCAGCAGACGAGCCCCAAATAGGACGAAATGCGCGTCCTAAATTCCACTGTCACCCACCATCCATCCTTGCTTACAAATAAAAATCATTATTATATATCGGTAGAATGTATTACACTTTGATCAAGACTATATAATAAAGCTACAACAGATATTTAATGTTGAGCTTATTAGTTCTGCATCCTAATTTATTGACAGAACCATACATTTTGTGTTCACTAGTAAATTTCGGTATAATAATGAGAACTACATTTACGAAACTATATGAATTTACTTTTCATTTTGTCTATTATTATCAGATTGAGGTGAACTTTTAAAATGAGCAATTCACATAATAAATGTATTTTGCTACTGAAAAGAAAGCATGGTAAATTTGTATTTTCAGGTGAAAATGGCATGTTTGTTTAATCTATCGAAGCGTCGGAATCACATAGTCGAGATACGCGCGAAGTTGAAGTTCACAAGACAGTGATTTGTCTATAACACGGTTCTTTATGGAACAATATAAATAAGTGATCTACAAACTTTAAATTGTGAGGTATCTGTAACGCCTTGAGCGTCTGTAAGTCTGAAATAGAAAAGGCTTCCCGCAATTAATAACATAAAGAATAATTGCAACATATGGTAGTGAAAATGACAGCTAATAGCTGTCTAATCTTTATCAATAAGCAAAAACGGATCTAAGAGCAAAGAATTTGTAAACTGTCGCGTTTAAAAAAGGATTAAACGACCATACAGAATTGCAAATAACTGCTACAAGAATTAAACGAAAGTGATTATAATGATAAATACAATAAATGTTATACGTATATGTAATTATTACAGAATATTACACAATAAACTTGCGCTACAACTTAAGCGCAGAAATTGCTAAGAACATTACTGCTTACTGAATATTAATAAGTAGTATGATGCAATACACAGAAGAATCGAAGGGAAGAGAATTGGACAAAGTAAAACAATGTTTGAAGATATGAATTCAGCGCACATAAGAGATACACAAACATGATGACGATACTTTGTAGGGCTCTGTTGGATTTCCTTAGTCCTGATAACCGATATCTAGTAAATGCCAACGTCTTATAAATTCTGAAAACAACAAAATCCAAGAGACAAAAACATCCGAAATATCTCTTATCCTTTGACTGAACATTGAGTAAAGGTATGGATATAATTTCTAGCTCTCCTACTCTTCTCGTTACCACTTTTCTACTCAAATTAAGGGTTGATCTGTTGCTGCTTACTCTGTTCCAGAGATTCCGAGTTTACGATTTAGCTTTGGTATCAAAACTTACTCTTCCTTTATGGTGGGATAAATTCGTAACCAATTTTTTTCCTGAGACATTCAAGTATAACTAGTGAGATTAATGACAGTCGAAGCTAAATAAATTTGAAGAAAACAAGTGGTCTTTGTGAACTATTTCTAATATTACCGTTAACATTTTGATTGGTGATTCTACTAAGCTTCAAGTGGTCACCGTTGAATATCTTCACAAAAATACATATTTCTGAAGTTTTCTTCACAATATATCCTACTTTCTCAAGCGTAGAATCAAGATTCTAGTTTTACTTTCATTTTATGCTCTCGTTTCACTGTCTGGCGACACTGCACAATTGGCCTCGTTTATTTACATCACCATATACAAAATAAAGATCGATTACTTGCATTATTTTAGTAAGACCATTTACAGATCTGGTAGGAAAGTATACTTGAGCAAATATTGAAAAATCTTAAAGATATATAGCAATAACTTCATACCAACTTAGACGCATCATTATTCTGAGTAACTAGTGGTCATACGTGTGATTTTTTATACGAACTATTGATTCTTTTATACACAATGTGTGTCTCATTTTTAGTTCCAAATACAATACGTTAGCTTGTGCTCACTTAGTTCTTCCTGACTTAAACTGCGCTATTGCGGAGATTACTAGTCCGAAAAGTAATTCATATATTTCTCGTTTTCGAATTAATTCAGAGTGAATTACTATAAATATGAAAGCATGTATAAAAGAATGTAAATGGAGCCTTTTTCCTTTAGGAAGCGTCATCATTAGATAAGGGTGTAGCGGTAAATAAATCCCCAAAATAAATAGCACTAAGTTTTCGACATTGGATGCTGACCATATGTTTTAGTGGACTCATTTAGCTGAAGGCGCTCGGTCAGGCATCCGCACCAGATCACGTGTGGTAACGCCGTGCTCAACATCAACCGCAATCGCTAGCCAGATTAGATCAGAGAATTCCGATATATTGGTCATCGCCAAATATACTCTTCCGATCTCCTCGACTCTGTCTTCTGATTTCTCTGGGCGGGAATGAAATATATTAGAAGGTGTTACTGGTAGAAGCGTTGTCAAACACTGAATACCTGTGACATCATCATTGGTGAAACCGACGTGATCTGGTACACCTAATTGCAACTGTGAGTCTGTTCCTTTTTGGGATTTTTATATATCATTGCCTTATTTTTTTATTTTTTTAAACATTGTGATTTTTTTTCGTGTTTTTTCCTGGATATATATATTTTTCCCCTCGTTCATTATCGTACTTCATACTTCGTCATGACTGAACAGACACCTAAAGTACTCAAGCTTAAGACTTTGTCCCCGCCTTCGTTTCAACTGATGCCTTTCTGGCCCGACAACATCGAAGCCTGGTTTTGCTACGCCGAAGCCGACTTTTCCGAGCACGGCGTGATCGACACACGTGCACTATTCCTCGCAGTAGTCAAGGCACTACCGCGCGAATTCAACAGGTACGTAACACCTAGTATGTTTACTAGTGATGTTTCCGATCCTTACGAAATCTTAAAACGCTCGATTCTTAAACGAGGAGACCTAACCGATCGACAAAGGTTAGATCAACTCTTCAACAATATCGACCTGCAACACGGTTCTGCGACGGACATGTTGCAACGGATGAGAGAGGTAATAGGCCCAAGAACTTTCGACGAAGGTCTACTCAAAAAACTCTTCTTGTCAAAACTTCCCCAACAGGTGCAGGCAGTTCTGGTCTCGTTCCAGAACAACGCCTTAGACGAGCTAGCTGCATCTGCCGACCGCATTTTAGGAATTACGAAACCTCCTACTACCGAGGTATTTTCAGTCAAAGAAAAACCTCAAACGACTCAGAATGATATAACCGACTTATGTCACACACTCACGCGTTATCTTAGTCTTCGTACCTACCGTAAGAGATCGCGCACACCACGTAGAAGCATTTCTCGTGAGCGATCTGTCTCTAGACCACGAAAGACAGATAACCCCGACTGGTGCTGGTATCATAACCAATATGGAAAGCTTTCCAGAAATTGCAGAAAACCCTGCAATTTTCCCAACACGAAACCGACTGATTCGAAAAGTAATTCGGGAAACTTCCAAGCCGGCACGCGTTAACGGCAACCGTAGCCGGCGAACAAAGCCGTCTGTTATTCGTCACAGATGTGACAACGAGAGTTCGCTACCTCGTCGACACTGGCGCAGAAGTTAGCGTTCTCCCAGCAAATCCTAACGACCGACTTCACGAATCGACCCTAAACTTACAGGCGGCAAACGGAAAACCGATCGCTACGTATGGCAAAAGGTACGTTTACCTTAACGTGGGTTTACGCAAACCCATTCACTGGATTTTCGTTGTTGCAGATGTTTCTATGCCAATCATTGGTATGGATCTTCTACAACACCATAACCTGATCATCGACACTCGCAAACGGAGGCTAGTAGACGGAAACACTAATTTGTCCGTTTGCGTAACTTCTTTTACTGGTTGTAGAGTTGAACATATGATAGACCCACTCTATCAACCACTACTCGATAAGTACCCTAAGATACAACAAACTCAACCGAAACTACCGTGTGTAACCAGCAATGTTACACATCACATCACGACTACAGGACCACCTGTATTTTCTAAAGCACGCCGACTAGCTCCTGAAAAGCTAAGGTTAGCGAAAAACGAATTCGATCACATGATGGACTTAGGAATCATACGACCGCCAAGTAGCCCATATGCATCTCTGCTGCACATGGTCCCTAAAAAGGACAGCAACGATTGGCGTCCAACTGGTGACTATCGGCGATTGAACGCGAAAACC